AATCTGTGAATATTTACTTACCATACTGTAAACAACCCAATACTCGAATATTAGTTGATAAAAATTACCCACTAAATATTTGACGCACATCTTATTTCTACGCATAATTGTTCTCCGAACACATTTAGAAACGAAAAGTTCATCAACAATTTGGTTGTCAGGTATCAAACCAACAATGTTGTCAGGGTATTTCGCACTAACTCTTCATTTCTATTTGTCTATTTGATAATCTAGATCTGTTAATTGTAGACGAATTAACTGCTGGTTGTGTAGATCCTTTAATTCTCTTCGAGAATCCAATTGATATCACTTAGTTTTTTGTTTACAAAAATTTGTCCTAATTAATTACCTATCTCTGTCTGTGAACGATGTATCGGCTTTATTTCATTAAGGTATAAGTAGTTGAATAAGAAAAAGAGAATTCAACGAAGAAAATTTTCTTTTCGACGAAATCATTTACTTATGTTGTACATTCGTATATATAGTTATGTGGAAAATATATGTCTATAGGAGGCTAGGAATGATTGCATTATAAATGGATTCGACAATAAATAACAAATGAGGTTACATACTAATCAAGAGGTAAGGAAGAAAATAATTTATGGGTCAGATAATAGTCCAATTGACAGATATAAAGAAAGGCGACAAACACAAAGGTCATAATGATAATCTGAGTAATAATCAAGAAAACTTGGATAATGTAATAATAATAATAATAATAATAATAATAATAATAATAATAATAACTGATTAGATTCACTTAGTATTGTTTGTTTGAATCTTCCCATCGATGTGTTAGGACTGCAACTGGTCAGTCTCTAATTGGCATATGTGCATACTGTGCGTATTGCCTCGACATAGCCTTGATTCACAAGCATGATAAGCAAAGATGGACTGACCAGTTGCAGTCCTAACACATCGATGGGAAGATTCAAACAAACAATACTAAGTGAATTTAAACTTCACCTCATCGCACAAGCAAGTGGCTATCAGGACTCAGTGGCCGAGTGGATAACGCGATGGCGTTTGAAGCGAGGGTACTAGGTTCGAGTCCCACAGTGAACATCAACTCTGAGATGAAGGTACATCCAGCTGACGAGTCCCAAATAGGATGAAACGCGTGTCCTGGACTCCACTGCTAACCACTATCCATCTTTGCTTATAACTGATTAGATTTTAAAATGTAAAACAGTAATTTGAAAAAAACCGATAATAATCAAATAAAAGTGCAGAAAAGAGAAAAGAACGACAACCAAAAACATACCCATTAAGGGAATTAGGACCAAGAAAGGGTGAGAGGTTCATATAGTCTAGGTATAACGGAACTCGATGGTTTGAGATGTTCAAAGAGGTCACAATTAATAAAGTTCATAAGAATAATGTCCCTTTACGTCCTACAACTCTTCATATCACTTTATTGCTAAATGGTTAGTTGACATTTTACAACCTGTTAAAAATCATGTGAATAAATACAAATCTCTTGATTCCTTTGAATTTGTCGACTCAATTAGAAATATCAACGTAATTGGTCAGAAAATGTTCTCATTAGATGTCACTTCGCTGTTTACAAATGTTCCTCTCACAGAAACTATTTGTTTTTTATGTGACTATATTGAAAACAATAATCTTGATATGTGTATCCCAAAACATTATCTTAAAGAACTACTTCTACGATGTACACTCAACGTGCGATTTAAATTTAATAATGTTTTCTATAGACAAACAGATAACGGGGCGGACTTGCATGCATATAGCAAACAATTCTCTTTGAACCTAGCACACAACAATATTGTCATGCACTGTCCCATCGCCCTTGGCAGATCAGGCAACCCGAAATTCACGAGAACACCATCAGGGCAAACAGATGGAGTTGCAATGGGCTCTCCATTGGGTCCTCTCCTGGCTGATTGTTTCATGGCCAATCTAGAAAATTCTGTACTTCGACCAATAATTGAGAAATTTCATTTATATAAGCGATATATGGATGATACTTTCATTATTTGTGAAGAGGACATGGACCACAATGAAATCTTAAATATTTTCAATAATTGTCACCCATCAATTCAATTTACCTTAGAGGCAGAAGCGGACCAGGAATACCATTTTCTTGATGTCCGTTTGAAAAGAATGCCTGATGGTTCTATATATAGAAAGCCTACTTGGAATGGACAATATACGAATTTTCATAGTTGGGTTCCACTGAGCCGAAAGAGGAACTTAATTCACTATTTATCCTCTAGGATCAAGCGAATCTGTTCCAATGACACAATAAATGAAGAACTACTTCATCTTCCGCAGACCCTCATCAAAAACGGTTATCCACCTAGGTTCGTCGATAGCAACTTAACACCTAGACTTCATCAAGAAAAAGCTTTGACAGTGCAGAAGAAAACTTTGTTTATGAATATGGAATTCAAAGGAGACACGGCTGATGAAATCCTCAATAAACGGATTTCAAAATCGTTGAATAAAACTTTCTACACAGCCAAGCTTCGAATCGTTTTCTCTAGCCGGCCTACCATTCGGGGGGGGGGTGTTAAGGATAAACTTTCGCTTTGGGCCACATCGATGTGTATCTATAAATTTACTTGCTCATGTGGAGCACGTTACATAGGCCGCACAAAGCGATCGCTTTCCAAACGCATCTCAGAACGCTATCCGGTTTGGCTCCTAAAAGGAGAATGTAAAAAGATAACTAGTTCGATACAAGAGCATTTGATCAACTGTGGACACATTGCTCCAAAAGACTCGTCTTATAAAGTAATCTATAGAGTCAAAGGAACTGAACCAAAGAGGGGTCGAACCAATATTTCATGCACTGCTGAGGCATTGGCAATCCATGAACTCAAGCCTGAACTTTGACTGCAGAAAAGATTGTTTTTATCGTAACAATATTGTTTGTTTAAATAGGTCGTAAGGACTAGTTTAATGTAAAAATAATCGTGATCATAGGAGTTTAACAATGTGCTGAATGAGAAATCACTAATGGTAATGAATAATGATCTTTTTATATAAATTACTGACTGGGTTTCGAAGTGTAATTCAATTGGTTCGACCCCAGTGGTGGAGCCGTGGATGCACACTTCTGAGGAGTCCCATGCTAAGACGAAATACCTGTTCTGTGCTACTAGCTTTTCTGTGATTGCCTAATTTATGTCGGTATAAATTTATGCATCTGTTTCTGGTCATTGTGCATCACAGATTATCAATCTAGTATCGATGACCGACCGTTGCTGCTACCTTGACTTGGTGGTCGGGCTTGCCTATCTTGAAGAACCAATCGAGCCATACTGGCTAGAACAGTCGTTCCTCAAGGTCCTACCATGCCAGACAGATTGATTGAAGGGCAGTAAAACTAAAAGTAGCAAATCCAAGGTCCGAAGGCGAAGTCGTACTGCTGACTGTACAGAGGTGTTACAGTAGTAAGGTGTTTCCTTCAGTCAACAGCATGACAGCGATGCTGCCTTCGCACAAGGATGGGTGGGGTTAGAAAAGGTCGACCCTAAAAGTGCACACCTTGGCTTATCCCGCAGATATCCGTCTCCGGCGGTAAGGTCCCAACAAGTACGGAGCTAACACGAAAATTACCCACAAAAGGGTCGTGTGTGACCGGCCTCAAGCAGTTGTCTCTTGGACATTGCGGCACGCTCTTAGGTCACTAAGACCACTTATAACCCAAATTCCTTATCAGATACCTCCAGAAGAACCCTTCCATGGTATGGGCGACCGGGAAGTGATAACTGCCCTCATACCTCTAACAGCATTCAAGACCACTGTATTCATAAGCAATCTTCTTCCATTCCTATTATTCCTTCTACCTCGACTTTCAACACTAAACTTCCTCTTTCGGCTCCCTCTTCAAGTGTCACCATAACCGACGATTCTAGTGCACGAAACATTGTCCCAGGTCTACTAAAACCTCGCTCCAAACTACACATTGGAGCCTTCAACATATGTACCTTATGTCAAATCGGCCAACAGGCCTCCTTGGCTGAGACCCTAGAATTTCATACCATTTATGTATGCTGTGTCTTCTAGTGTGGTCATTCACTTGACGTCACCTCGCCAAAATAGAGAGCCAAAGAGATACAGGCTCCGTGTATCTGGCGACCCGATGGCCAGTTCTTGTGGACTTGCAGGTGTAGGCATAGCACTTATTACGAGTGCAGATTAAGCACTATTAGAGTGGGTCCCCGTTAACAGTCACCTGTGTGCTTCCGGGACATGTGTCCTTGCCTTTTCGTCGTTTCTGCCTACACTCCCTTTGACTGTAGCCCGTGTGAAGTGAAAGATGACTTTTACAGAAATCTCTCTGAACTTCGAGAAGCTCAACACTCAGACATAGTACTCGTAGTAGGCGACCTTAATGCCCAAGTAAGTAGCTTAAACCAAACAGAAAGAAATTTAGGTGGGTATTTTAGTATTCCGGCTCAGCGAACAGATAATGGTTATCGTCCGTTGCAACTATGCTCAGACAATCGTTTATTCTTAGCAAACACTAATTTTAAGCATGAGAAGAGACACCATCTAACATGGCGACTACCTGCACCAAACCAACGATGGACTCAAATAGATCATATTGCCATCAGTCGTCGTTGGAGAGACTCGATAGAAGATTGTCGCTCGTACTGGAATACATGTTTGGACTCTGATCACGCTTTAATACGAGCACACATTTGTCTGCGCCTCACTCGACGCAGAAAAGCTACACTAAGCAGACCCATTAGGATTGAAATGAGTGGCGAGAAAGCCGAACGTAAGTTCCAGGAACAACTGAATTCTGTAAACGAGGCTGACCCAGATGCTGCTTGGAAAGACTTACGAACAGCTGTGGAAACAGCAGTCACATCTATCAGTAATTTAAACCAAAGGGTTCCAAAAAACCAGTGGATTTCTTCTAAGTCTATTGCACTGATGGATTCTCGTAAACTCATTCCATCAGGCTCTGAACACTACAAAAAGCGAAAACAATTCAGATCTAGGTTAACCAAAACGATCGTGAGCAGTGGTGGGCAACGAAAGCGAAAGAAATGGAAAAGACAGTGTCTGTAGGCAAAACCAGGCAACTCTCCAGACTAATAAAAGAAATCGGAATTAAGAAGTCAAGTGTAAACCAAACAATCTCGGAAAAAGACGAAACCGTTATCTGCTCTCATCCCAGATGTTTAGAACGATGGGCGGAATAATTTAGAGAACAGTTTATCTGGCCTTCAGTTACTCTACAGTTACCCACGATTCCCAGAAAACCTGAATGGAACATTGAAGTAGGCCCCCCGACCCTACTTGAAGTTCAAAAGGCTATAGCTAATTTGAAACGAGGGAGAGCAGCTGGTCCAGATGGATTGGCTCCAGAGGTCTTTAAATATGATGGTCCAATTTTAACGATTAGGTTGACTAATATTTTGGCTGAAATCTGGGAGTTGGACGTAATCCCATCCGACTGGTCACAATCACTGATTGTCCCAATATATAAGAAGGGGTCAAAATCATCTTGTGATAACCATAGAGGGATTAGTCTGACTAACATAGCATCTAAAATACTAGCTTCAATAATTATCGGGCGCCTAACTAAGACTCGTAAACTGTAAACAGGAGAATAGCAGGCTGGCTTCAGACCTAGTCATGGCTGTATCGAACACATTCATTATTCGTCAGGTTTTAGAACACAAACATGCTTATCGGCGTCCGATAATGATAGTTTTTCTTGATTTAAAAGCAACATTTGACTCTGCAGACCGAGAGGCTATGTGGCAGTGTCTGTCATTGAAAGGAGTACCTCAGAAGTACACGAACCTTGTGAAGGATGTTTACTGGAAGACTAGCAGTCGAGGGAGAGTTTATGGAGAACTTTCATCTGATTTCGCAACCTCAAGTGGTGTCCGACAAGGCTGTCCACTATCTTTATTTTTGCTTAACTTCATTATAGACCTATTGCTGGAAATAACACTCTCGTCGACTGAATTTTCAGGAATTGATCTTCTACTAGGAGGTTCACTTATCGACTTAGAATACACAAATGACATAGTTTTGTTTTGTGAAGACTGACAAAATGCAGAGTCTACTGTTAGAACTGACTAATAATGCCAGGATGTTTGGGATGCGTTTCTCCCCATCCAAATGTAAATTGTTACTCCAGGACTGGCCTGCGTCATCACCTGAACTAAGGATAGGGAGTGAAGTAGTCGAACGCGTCGACAACTTCACTTATCTTGGAAGTCTAATCAGCCCTAATGGGTTGGTGTCTGACGAAATCTCAGCACGGATTCAAAAAGCTCGTTTGGCTTTTGCCAACTTACGTCACCTATGGCGAAGACGAGATATCCGTCTATCAATTAAGGGACGAGTATACTGCACAGCAGTTCGCTCTGTTCTACTTTACGGCTGCGAAACGTGGCCATTAAGAGTAGAAGATACTCGTAGGTTACTAGTATTTGACCACAGATGCCTTAGAAATATTGCTCGCATCTGCTGGGATCACCGGGTAAGTAATAGTGAGGTTGGACACAGGATATTAGGGAATGATGGTAAATCAGTTGATGAAGTTGTGGATCTTCATCGACTGAGATTGTTGGGCCACGTGTTGTTACGTATGCCTGAACATTCTCCCATGATTTTGACTTTGACACTACCACGGTATATTTCATTGCATTTCAACCACTATTATTTAGATATTGTTATTATTGTAGAAGTCAAGAGTCATCTCTTGTTTTCTGACCTTCGTTGATACCATTTTTTGTTAGTTTCGCATCTGATAAGTAACCTAATCATTATATTTTGGTTAAATATGCTAAATACGAATAATAACTTTAGTTCTCTTATATATTAAGTCAATCGTGTATTAGTCCTTTCTTGTAAATCTAATATAATTGGAGGTTGATTTATCGTTTCGATCACTTCAGTCACTGGAGTATTCTATTTGATCAACTGTTCCGTCATATCAGGCTCTACTATACAAAGAAACTGAAATGTATATCATCATTAACACTTCCACGATGTTTGTCTTCCAAAATTAATTATCACATTTTGTAACTACCTTTAATCGATTAGCAGTTTTAAACTACTAAAATCTGTTTACAGAATACAATTCTCTTGTTGTAAATATGTAGGTGTGATAATAGTACTAGGGGCTACAAATAAATTTGAGAAATTTTTTGTGTTGGTTCTTAGTTTTCCATTAACTTCGGTTCCTATTTATCCTAAATTTTCAAATCTATCTACCCAATACATCGAATTTAAATTATTACAAGACTTCTTATTTATCTACTTTTTTATAGAATAACTAATTCACCTACTATATGTAGTCTTTGTTGGTGTACAGAAAATTGTTTTTTAATTAGTCGGGGACATTCAATTCGTATTTGTCAAATTTCAGATCGGACTAGTAATTCTGATCATTCACTACATTCTAGCAATTCTTCATTAACTTATCGATCGTCTCAAAGTTTATCCTCAGTTGAATGTCGTATTGGCTTGCCAAGTCGTTATGTTGAAATCGTACATCAAATTAATATGGATGATTCTATTATTATTCATAGTGTTTCAAGACATCAGGCATGTATTCTACTCTTATTTAATGTTATTAACGACTTGTCTAAATCAAACTATGAAATATCTGTTCTTGATATTGATTTAGATTCAATAAGTAATAATTTAATTTCATCTAATCAACAATATAAAGAAATCTATCATGAAAAATTGTCAATGAAATCAACTGCTTCATCACACATTGTCGGTCTAGGTAAGATTTTTCAATGCTTAAAACCATGTAAAGTGAATATGTATAACTTGGTAAATAAATTGTGAAACACTTCTTAGATTGAAATTTTTAAAACTATACTAATTATTAGTTTTAGGACGACTTTCATTATATTTTCTATGTGTAGATATCCATTTTCTTTGAATATGCATTAAATATTGGTTAGTCATTACTTCACTTGTATCCATTCCGTTTTACAGGGATTTCAAGAACTCTGGTTTTGTTTGGAACTGGAGAAATTTTAATTATATTTTCGATCTGTAAACCACTTAGGCTTCATAATTTTTGTTTCTAGTTATTCGGTGAAAACGCTGACAAAATGCAGTTTTCTGACCACTATAAGCAACTATGCAGGCATGTTCGGGATGCGATTCTCTCCCTCGAAGTGCAAAATGTTACTTCAGGATTGGGTTGCAGCGACACCTGAACTAATGATAGGGAGTGAAGTAGTTGAGCGTGTTGACAGCTTCACTTATCTTGGTAGTCTCATCAGCCCTTGTGGTCCGGTGTGTGACGAAATCTCAGCACGGATACAGAAGGCTCCTCTAACTTTTGCCAAATTGCGCCATTTATGGCGTAGGCGAGATATCCGTCTAGCAACCAAAGGACGGGTTTACTGTGCAGCAGTTCGTTTTGTCCTACTTTATGGCAGTGAAACATGGCCGATAAGAGTAGAGGATATTCGTAGGCTACTAGTATTCGATCATAGGTGTCTTCGAAGCATTGTTCGTATATCCTGGGACCACCGGGTAAGTAATGCAGATGTTAGGAAACGGGTATTGGGTAAGGATGACAAATCGATTGATGAAGTAGTGAAACTTCATCAGTTTAGATGGCTGAGACATGTGTTACGTATGCCCAACCACCGACTGCCCCGACGTGCAATGCTTTATCGTGTAGGAGCGGTTTGGAAGAAAGTTAGGGGCGGCCAGATTAAAATATGGCATAAATCGATGAAGTCGCTGACAAGTGGACTGGGCCGTGTTGGTAGGTGTAGACTACCTGGTTGGGATTCGCGAGATGATAGCAACCGATGGTTAAAGACCTTGAATGGCATGGCTCAAAATCGTTTGCAATTGCGAAGGTGCATCCACTCTTTGTGTTCTACCAAATTCTAATCTTCTGAATTATTTGTGTTCTTTTCCTTTTTCTCTTTCCAAATTTATTTCGCTGTATTATACTCCTTCAATAACATCTTCAAACCCTTATCTTTCACATAATACTTATACTCTTACTACTTCTACCACTACGGGATTCCAATCGATAACTTCATCTCTGTGCTAATGTGTGTTGGGGATGTCAAATCCCCAGAACTTACTTGGTAAATGGCTTAATCTGTAATTTTATTTTGAAAATTTGAATTTGGCTGTTTTCGCGCCAAAAGCGCTCTTTTTACCTTCACGTCATTTTCCCACTTGTAAACTATCTTAAACGCTATTGGTCCGTTGTTTCTTTGTGTGTGCTATTTACTAATAATGCTCAAGGACAATTTGTTGCTGTATAAATGCGCTTGACTTTTCCCCTTATTGGATTGCTTGTACTCGGCTGCTTACGGAATACATATATATTCCCCTACTTGCCTTGGGCTTCTTCATCTAGTTGGCGGGGCCTGGGACAACCGATTAGAATAGCTTATCGTGTCATTGTGTCATTGGCTTTCGTTCGTTACCGCGGAATCGATTTAGTTTCAGGCATAACAATGTGGTATGGCAACTCGAACTGATGAACGTACGTACGAAGTTCTACGTTGTAACTGACTGACTGTCTAGTTAACACCTTGACCTAGAAAAAATCAAATATCTGTAACTATGTTTCACATTCAGCTCTGTCAATTAGGCATGACTCTAAATAATAATTTATCGTGTGATTTGATTATCACTTATCAACTTAAGTCCATTAAATTCAGTCACCAAATTATTTTAAAACAAAATCTCAGTTTGTATCTTATTCGAAATACAATAAATGGACTAAGGTGTTTTCGTATAATCCAAGGACAGTTTTCATCATGGCTGCCATCAACCGAACTAGTCATCATCGTCTAGACTGAATAAAGTAGTTGAGCGCGTTTACCACTGACTTATCCTGTGAGTCTCATCAGCCCTGGTACGTTAGTGTTTGACGAAACCTGGACACGATTCCAAAAATCTCAATTGACGTTTGTGAATATCCGTCACTTATTGTTTAGGCTAGGTGTCCGTCTGGCAATCAGATGAGTTCGCTGTGCAATAATCTGCCCTGAATTACTCTATGGCTGTGCAACATGGTCTTTGAAAGTAGAAAACATGAAGACTGCAGATTCTTGTTACTGTTGTGTTCAAAGCGTTGCCTGCATCTGTTGGGACTGCTTTGTGGGCTATTCTGAGGTTAGACACTGGGCATCATGAAAAGATCACAAACCAGTTGGTGAGGCTGTAAATCTTCACCGACTAACGTGGTTGGGACGTGTACTACTTATGTCTAATCACAATCTACCTGGACGAGCGATATTTGCTGATACAGCAACAAGTCAAAAGAAATTCAAAGGTTTCCAAACCGCGACGTGACATCAGTGCATAAAGTTGATCCGAGCCATGTTATCACGATCCTTTTACTTCTTACACGAATGGGACGTTAATTTACCTCAGACGAATATCTACACTAGATTCTTTCTCAGTGTCTATTCTACAGGACTTCAACACAATTCAGATCAAGAACACGTGACTAGAACGTAAATATATTTTTACACCCAAACCCGATACAATCCAATAACAATGAACAACTAATCAATCAATAGTAATAAGTAATAAGGATAGAGGAATGTATAACTCATCTGACACCTGTCAGACTACCTGCTTGTCTGACTAAACAGACAACCGAAGATTATCATTCTCGCCCACACATCACTTCAGATAGCTGTTTTATCGAAGTTTAGGACTTTTCAGCTGTATTCATTCACCACTTTAATAAAAAGTGAATATTCAATTTGTTTTTTTTAGAGAGTTCCGTAATATGTTAATTTCTTCTCAAGTTTACATATTGTCTGATGTGTAAATCGTAAAGTTTTAACTCATACTGTGTTTCTTTTATCAAAAGTGACTAAACTTCATGAAGCTATATTCTATTCAGCTTTTCTAAATTTATACATGAACATAATCTCTGTGACAATGTTGTTCGTTTCCATTGGATGTGATACTGTTTATAATGGATTTAAGTAATATGTTAATTAGTAGATTAGTTTGACAGTGAATTATTTGAAGGATTCCATTAGTTTTGCCCATGTATGCTAACATGAAAAAAAATCCGCAAAACAGTTCACTTAAGAAAATTTCTCTTCGATAACTGTCATTTACAGAAGCTGTACAATCGTATTTATAGTCATTTAAAATAGATTAGCCTATAAGAAAATATGTAGCTACTGTATCACTAAGTAATCGATAAAATTTCGGTTATAAAACAAAATTTATGTAATAGTGTATTAGGGCAATAAGAAATAGTTAGATCAAAATAGGAATATAGAAGGGAAGTCCAAAAAATAATTGTCTACTTGCTAAGCATAAAAAGGTATGAAAAAAAAACACGCAGCAGCAATAACTTGTAAAATTAGAAGTAGGTGATTGATCCCAGGGCATGTTGTTTTTGAATATAGATCAGACTTGGATGAGAAAATTGTTAAAGCATCTGGTGTGCACAAATTTAAACTCACCAACTCTACTCTCTAATACTTCGTCGAACTTGGCCACAACACCTTCGGAAATTTCTTTTAAAATTATCTACAAAATTGAGAGGAAAATTACCTGAAAATTATGTAACTCTATCGATTGTCCTTGATCTACTAAATTTAATATGTAAAGTACTTAAGTTTAGTCGATGTTAATTGAACTGTGCCCTGATTAGTCACTGAGCAAAGATAGATATGTCCGGCTTGTAGTTAGTGTGTAAACTATTGTTATATGTAAAAGATTACTTTCTCTGTAATTACATTTCGATTTTACACTGTGTAATGGTTTGTAATTTCTCTCAATAATCTGTTTTTAATCTGTTGTCTAGTTCTCGATTGTTGTTCTTACCTTGTATATCAGAATTTACATGATATAATGTCTAGTACTTGGTCTCATGTTCAGTGAAATATTGAATCTAACCGTTTAGTGGGGAATTCCTACTCCCCCACCGGTATAGAAATGAAACTGAAAATTAAATAAACTCATTTTTTCCCTTTTATTTACTTTTATATATTAGTTAGTGTGCCTCATGAAAATACGCATTATATTTTTTCAAGAAAAGAACTATTTTGTGCTCAAGAACTAACTCTTGATGATCGTATTGATTGGTTCCTTGAAAATAGTTTATTTTCTAAAGGACTTGAAGCTGCTCAAGAACATCCACGATTGTTGACTCGTCATACAGTTCAAGTAAGCGTAATCGAAAATTAATTTATACTAGTTTAAATGTGGTGTTTAAGTATTACAATTCAAATTAATCTGGAATATTTTACTCAGAAATGTAAAATCAAATTATCAATATTGACGTCGTATCATGACTCTAAATGTTTTTTTATCCATTTTTTATGTTTGGTATAAAAATCATCAAAATAGATACCTTATTGTAGATATGTGAAAACATACTTCATGATAGGATTACTTTCACACATACTCTTACACAAATTTATTTTGGATTTTTAAATATTTTTTCATTGTTCTAAAATTTTCATATACTGTATGCTTGTTTCTTGCACGACATGTAAATAATACTTTAAAGAAATAAAAAAATTAAGTCATTCATTAGGTACTTGGTTATGAACTACACTCTTAGTATAAAAACTAATGATACTACCCGATTTCCGAGATCGAAGTACGTAGAGTAGAGCTCGGACCTGGAAATTAGTAACTGAAAGTTGGGCTCCTTAACCACTAGGCCAACGCTTCAATAATAGTAAAGCATTTACGGTCTTCTTAAATAGTTCATCTGTCAATATAGCAGCCATATATGTTATAGAATTTTTAACTTACTTTAAAGGCACAGAATAATTCATTCTGATGTAACCATAAATTACTGATTAACTGCTTCAATCATATACATAGTTTTTAAATGATATTTTGGAAGTACATTGTTTGGTATGATGGACGAAACACTTGCGAATTTCTTAACATTTCGTGTATATTTTTCTACCGAAATTACTACTTTATTGAACTAATTAAAAGCATAAATATTCAATAAAGCTTGTTTTTATTTTCTGCTTTACTATAATTTTCTACTTTTTTCATAGTCTGTTGGCATAACGTATATCGATTATCTACTAAGTGAACGTTATTTCGTTGGAGCTGGAATACTTTGTGCACAAGTTTTATCAACTAGAGAAGCTTGGGAAGAACAAGTTCGGAAATTCTCAAATATCGATCATTTAGAGGTGATATTTCTGTTAAATTATTGTTCTTTTTTATTAGTGTTCATTGAACACTTTTCACTACTGCACTGATAATATTAATGATACCTGAATAACTTTTATATTGTCATCACTCTCTTTATTGTCATTTAAGAAAAGATAAAAAGATAAAAATCTCGGTACTAAGCTTTCCCACTTGGGTCAGCCGTGAATGTAATACAGTAGAGTAGAATTTTTTTGGGTAATGTCAATTTGAATCTGTAGTTATATGTTTTTTTAACATTATCAATATTATCTTATCAAAAAGCTCAAAATGTACAGTCACAGCTCACCTTCCATTTCCTTGGAACATTGTTACACAAAGAGCCTTGAATTTTCACAAAACATTAATTTATATAAAAAGCTTTTTCTAAATGGATTGATAGGCTAAAAAAGGAAGGTGATTCCACTGAGGTAGGCTGTACTAAATTTGTACTAAATTAGCTAAAATCGAGCCGTTAACAGTTTTAACTATACTTTTGCTTAACTACACTGGGAGGTACTCGCAAGTCCGAAAATAGGAATTCCTAGAATGCCTGGCTATATAACGTGCTCCACAAGAGCAGTTGAATTGATAGATACAGAAAGAGATGGCTAGTTTAGGTAATTTATCTTTCAATCCCAGAGTGGTCATCGGATGTGTAGAAAACAATAGTTGTAGTTTACCTGTATTAAAAGTTCTTCGCATTGCTGTGTGCAACTTTAGTATAAGCATTTCACTGTGTGCTTACTTACTTACGTACACCTGTTACTCCCAATAGAACATAGCCTTTGATGATCGTTGGCCCATGAGATTCCCATCCTATAAGTGCATTTTGTGCTTGTTTGGACAGCATCAATGCCACTCATTGTGCATGTGGGGCATTTTCTCTGTATGCATTACCTCTAAATTGCAAGTGTGTATGCGGAGGCTTTTTGCTCACAGTTAGGGCCTCCCTTATGCTCTCTTTTCTTGGCTAAATGTTTATTTTTAAATTTCTCCAGATAACCATTTTCCTTTAGGGTAGTACGCAATGCCTTTGTTTCTTCTTCAACCGCATCTAGGGGCATATGTTCTTAACTCTATAATGAAGTGTCTTGATCATGTTCCTTTTGTATTATAGCGAAACAAAACTACGAATATTTGTATAGTGACCACTCCACTAAGTTTCTTCTTAGTGACCCATATATTATCCATTGTAAGAAGAATATCTAGGAAGGCTATTCTACCTCTATTTTCTCTTCACATGTGAATTTTATAGACGGATGAACTTCATTAAATTGGTCGAGTGTTTCTATCAGGTCACTTTTGTCGTTACTATTTGCGAAAAATATGATTATCGGTATAGATTTTGTGTCAGCCTTAAATTACAAATTTTTAATCACTCACAGTGATTTTTTCACTTATTGAATAAATTTTCCAGCAGATATTATTCAATTAGTGTCATTATATAAGTCAAAAACCTCAAGTATAGAAGCATTTGTCTTATTGATCAACATTCTAATATATTTACAATTACTTTAGCTTTTCCCAATCAAGTAATCTATCTTACACTTACAGATAAATAAGTTAGGTAGTTCAAACAATTCTTTTTGCTTTGATCACTTTTTTTATTGTACTATTTCTGCAACCCAGGCTATTGTACCATATCTACCGGTTAGTGGTGAGGAGAAATCTGTGAAACTCAATTCTTCTACATACGAATTAATTCTAACCGATTATATGAATCGAATGCCTATTCTATTTGCTCAATTATTAACTGAATGGTGCAAATTAGGCGTTGTTGATATTAGTGAAAATTTTCTTAGAACTTTACTAAACCGTATTGAACAGTATAGTTCTTTATCTGGTAAGATTTATGATGTTAACTTTTCATTGTACTTCAATTACATGTTTGGTAGTGTGAGTATGGAGTTTTTAACTACATTTGAAATACCTATGGCTATTACATTATTTTCCACTAAAACTCTATTTATTAAAACTGGTGGTTAAAGCTATGAAAAGTATAGGCATAGTTAAGCGTATGAGCATTTGTGGAGATTGTGGTATTTTCAACTGTGAACAATAATCATGTGCTCACTGGTAACTAGCGTCAAGATGGATTTCCTGGAGTTTTAATGAGAAGCCGTGACCAGTGGAGTCCAATATGTGCCTGGTGGAGACAGTTATCCATTTCACACAATGGGTGAAGGGTTGTGCAAGATTATAGATCGATTGAAGCTACATATTAACACCGTTGAATGCCGGCTCAGTGGTCTAAAGGTTAGAGGTTTGCGCGCGAGACCGGAAGTTCTGATTTCGAGTTCCGCATGCGCGTACTGCTGAGGAGTCCCATTCTAAGACGAAACGGCCGCCTAATGCTTCTAGGTTTTCAATGGTTGTTTAGCTTAGATAGACTTATGAATTCAACCATTAAAATGACTACAATCTCCTCAAATCCCCATTCTGATTCCTTATTTAATAAGTTGATAATCAACTCAAAGCGGATGACTAGACGGTAGAACAAATCCCCACTAATCTATTAAACTTGACTAACTTATCATTTCATGTAAGACAAACTAAATATGATTAATTGTATACGAAAAATAACTCAAGGTCACTAACTAATGCAATAATGTAATTTATCTGGGTGATTCGTGCAATTTACCATTGTTTAAAGATATTTTTTTTAATCAGAAATTGATATCAGTTGAAAAATCATTAGAAACCAAGTGAAATTTACTAGCTGTTTTTTTATAAGGTCTTAGTCTTCTTAACAGTGCACATTTAAAACTTACCAATTTCAAGTCTCATTGTGTCCAAATATTAAATTAGAATGTTTTTGTACTTTAATCAGTTTATCATCTAGCATTAAACTCTTTTAATATTATGAGTCAGTTAATAATCTTAATCTTGACTCTATAGGCTATAACTTTTGATTTGAACTTTTTAGGAAATTCATTCTGAAAAATTACGAATAAAAATTCTTAAATTCCTTCTTATTGTTCGTTTTCTTAGTTCTAAAATTGTTCAATTATTTATTTATGTTCATCTTTATTCTTTCATGAATATTTGTAGAATCTGTTGATCTAACCAAATTAGATACAGAAGTACAAGCATTATATCGTGGTTTAGCAATAATATATGAACAAATGGGATCTTTTGAATATGCAATAAATATATTAGTTCGTCTACGTGATCCAGAAGTGTTTACGCTTGTAAAACGTAATAATGTCAAACTGAAAGATCGTCGGCTAGTGGATATATTAAAAGACCATTTGATTTATTTTATGGAGTTAAATACAACAAAAGCGATTAATATGCTGATGGATCATATTGATCAAGTTTCAGTAAATCACTTTATCTTATGTTTATATATGGTTTGGTTTTGCTCTATTTTAAACACTCTTTTATGTTTCAGACTTTGTTGTTTGTCATCTAAACTATAATAAAAATTGTGATTCTTAGTTTATAATAGTAAATATTTTATTGGTGTTATAAGTCCCTCAAAATATTAGTGAATGTCGATCGACTATTCATTATTCACACTGCTTTTTTTCATACTTCAACTGGATAAAATGAGTGTATCTCTTAAAGTTTACTTGTGATTGGATTTTGTTAGGCTTCAGTAGGCTTTGCTACGTCCACTATTTGGGTTATAAATATATATATATATATATATATATATATATATATATATATATATATATATATATATATAACAATAATTATTGTCATATGGCTATTAACTGGGAAATATATTTGGGCAAGAACAGATTTATTTCTATCTTTTGAAAAGGAATTCCATTTAGACTAGTGTTTAACTGATAACTTAATTTAATTATAGACTTTTGTTGTGACGTTTGAGAGTCAATAAAGTGACATGATTGTAGTGACACAGGCATACTCATTCCCCATCTTCTTTTCTGAACATTTAGATTTAAGTTGTGGTTCTACGCTTATCGATCTTCGATATTATCTTCTTTAATGTCATAATTCTTATGTTGAGTTTTTGTTTCTAATTGATGTAAGATGTGACTAAGTGAACAAATGTACATATGCACCAGTTATTATGTTGGCTTTCAATAACTGACTTTTAATTACTGAGATCAACCAATTATATGTAGATATTTTGAATGAATTAACAATTAAACAACTATCAGTATGAGGTTATGGAAGTTATTATGTTTTTGATTGAGATCACAAACTAACTGATGTTAGACCAGTGAAAACCTGATATCATTTGATGGCCGTTCCGCCCTACTATAGGACTCCTCAGCAGTGCGCACCGACGATCCCGCGAGCGGGATTCGAACCTAAAGCCTTCGGTCTCGTGCGCGAACGCTTAACCTCTAGACCACTGAGCCAGCATCCAGAGGTGAGCAGTGAAACTACTCCGTGCCAGGTAGAGACAGGTATCCACCTCAGTACGATGGAAGATGGTCGCGCAATTTCGTGGATTAGTTGAAGCTATACATTAACACCGTTGGATACCGACTTAATGGTCTAGAGGTGTGCACTTCTGAGGAGTCCTACAGTAGGGCGGAACGGCCGTCCAGTGATTTCAGGTTTCCAATGGTGGTCTAACATAAATCGGTTCATGATCTCAATCAAAAATTAAACAACTTTTACTTTATCAATTTTTAGAATTTACAGTGAATGTTTCAATTGAATTGTATAATTATCGATGAACAGTAGGGCGAATTAATCATCATAAATAAGTTAACTGTGTTTTGTGTTAAACACTATGTAACCTACTAACCTAATCAGTTGTGTAGACAAGATTTATAACTATTTATACGACAGTATGTTTTGATCGAACAGTCTATTGTAGTACAGTTAATAATCGCCTGATTCATATCAAAATGATATAATAAATTTTATAATAATATTTCTGTCTATTATACTAAAGATCATTTTATAAACATGAACTGTCATTCAATATTGTTAATCTGTTTTTAAAACCCCTATTTGTAGATTGATTACGTAGTCAATCAACCTAATTCGGATTCTATGTTACTTTATCAAGTGAGTTGAATTATTCATGAGTTTATGTGTTTTCAAGTTAATTGTCCCAGCTACATTTTACCTTGACATGTTGGTACGATGAATCATCGATCAGTTTATTTTATGTATGAATAGTGTTTTAGGAATGTAAGTTTAATAAGACACGGTTAACCTTATGTGTAATTCAACAGTCTTCTTGTTATGTAGTAGCGAAGACATAGGTACGGGTAACTTGCAGGACCTACTATTGGACTATCATTCTTATTGTATAACTATTCGGTAACTAGATTATATATATATATATATATATATATATATATATATATATATTCATCTTATTGTAGGCTTCATTTTGACCTATTGATTATTACTATATGATTTACTGTCCCTATGTTATATTCAGTTTATTGATTATTGTCTCTCACGCTTACAGCCTCATTTGGCTTGGTTTTGTACAAATATTATTTTCTATTTTATGGTATGATGTGGCCTGTCTGTCTGATATATAAACAAAGTATGCTTGAAATAAACGATTCGTATTGCCGAGGCTGCTATTGGTGTTTCGGACTCAAGTGGACGGGTTAGGCGGATAAGGACCAATAAGGACGCTAGATTACTCATATAAATCGAACGTCATTGTCACAGTGTGAAGGTCGTATTCTATTGGTGGATAGTTTACGCGAATTACGTCCTTGTTAAATTCGTAAGGTCATAACGAATCAGCAACGACCTTGATCAAGTCATAACAATTGGCTACCGCCTAGGTCAAAAACATAACAAATTGGCGACGGCTAGGTCAAGTCATAACACTTCTATATTCATCTAACTAAATTTTCCTCTTAACTTGTTGTACTAGTTGATTTCAGTGTAAGGAGTAAATCAGTTCATCGAATTTATACAATAACCAGAAATTTTTTTACATACTTAGAGATAAACAGCAAACAATTAGCTTATTTTCTATTACCTTGCATAGGAAATCACGGGTTATTTGACTTTAGTTATTAAGTGTTGGCTTCTTCCAAGGTCATTCTTGATAATATTTTCCCAAGTTACATTTCCGTAGTGGCGTTTGCTTTTGTCCCAGAGTTATTGCATGTTACCATATAAAAATGTCTCATTTCAATTCTAACAACTCGATTTCTGTTCTTAATATAAAGGTATCCTGAAAGTCTCATCTTCTCTCTCCATCGGGCGTCTGGATTATTGACGCTGAAGTGTTGTTGGGTGTCAGACCTTCGGTCGATGCAGTTCCTACTAGTTTCATCTGTATTAGAAGATTCTCAGTTCGAAATTAAATTGCCATAGGCCTCGGTCGTAGTCGTACTTCAAACTGAACATAGCTACATATTTTGTATCCTTCCTTGGCATACTGTATTTAATTGGTCTGGAATCACTAAACTACTTCATTCTTCGTGATCAAGTCGTAGGATAATGTTTTCAAACCTCTCAGCATCATTTCCCATCTGAATTTGAAAACTTTTATACACAATATTACAAGATCTTTATGGGAAAAATGAAGAACCTATTGGAGCCCAACAGCGTTCTCTCTGATGATCAAAATGTCCTTCACATGTTTCTTAAAATCATCCAGTGCAGGAGAACGTGTTTTTAAGCCCAAACAATATTTATTTCAGTAAAAGTAATAAGCGCATATTTTCAAACTAGCTAATTTACATTGAATTATGTAATACTGAAGTAGATGAAAATTCTTCTGCTATGTACCACTTTGACTGTTTTACTAAGGGACTTTATCTACGGTCTAAAATTTCACTTAAACATCAGCCTATATTGGGTGACAAATACTTAAAATAGGATAGTGACGACATTTACCCATCAATAGTATCAGTTATAGACGAGTTTTTTAAATTACGAAAGCCCTACTTTGGTGTTCCGTAGTCAATTTCAATTAAATGTAACACAGCTTAGTAATCACGTACGCATTTCTGCAACCCACTCCAAGGCACAGTTTTGTGTAAAGGTCAGTGACTACCCAAGTCAAAGCCAGATGTACTAAGTCTTAAACATGCAACCCAGTGATGAAACTTTGAGTGATATGATCATCATTACATATAACTGTCAGTCTTCTACAGTACAACACCATACTTTTAATACGTTTTTTTTCGCTTGTTATTTTTTTCTTCAGTTTTTAGACAGCGTTTACTATCGATATCCACAACTTATTGGCCCATATTTAACTCTTCTAATATCCTTATACATCAAATTTTGTCGAAGTAAATTGCTACCTTTGTTAAAGTCTACAGATCGGTATCCTCTAAGTGAAGCCCTAAGCTTATGTGAACGCGCGAAACTTGTACCAGAAACTGTTTATCTACTGACTAGAGTTGGAAGACGTCACGATGCATTACAGTTAATTATGACGAGGGTAAGTGATCACTTTTGATAAGTTAGGTTCTATAACTTACTTATTCTTCTTCATAATTAATAAAAGCGTATTCTTTATTAATTTAGTAAGCTTTGGGGGCAAATATATCCACTGGTTTAATTGAATGAATAGAATGTAGTTCTTTGGGTCGATAATTCATTTTGAAGCCGGTCGGGACACTTTATGTCGTATAGGTAATTACTTACTTTCGAACTCATACTTAATAAAACCCACATATATATCAGAAAGCGGCGTGGTCGTCAAGCTCCTCTATGTTCCAAGCCTCGAAAATTGTTCTCCATAAAATATATGATTGGTATCATCTGTTTGTGGTAATCCATTATATAGATAGACTTTTTAGAATACTATCATTGAGACTAACTTCTGTTCATCAAGCAATGCTACAAACGATGTAGAAAGTGTATTTACTAATAGTTCAGGTTCCCATGTAAATGTAGCGCCAATTGACAAATAACACATTTACGAAGTATGATTGCGTAATATAAAGCTTATTAAATATTATTTTTAAATTGTAAGGCAACTTATAGTTACAATTTTTGGATCATAATAGTATATGATCCCCTGTGAATTTTGAGTTTTACTACTGAGTAGTAGATATCTCATACGTTTAGAATATAAATTAGTGGCACTACTATGCTGTTACTTCATTAATGTCTATATTGTATTGTGTGCAGGAGCTTAGACTGATTGATGGGTTGTTATACCTCTCTGGTTGTTTGTTAGTGATTACCGGTTAATCACCACAACATAACTGCATACAGTCACAGAGTATTTCCTGTTATGATATAATCAACCCGAGGTCACCGTTATAGTATAATTTATTCTTCTTTCTGCTCACTCTAAGCTTTAAATTGTGTGACAACAGTTTAATTGTCACTACTTAGGACGTGTACTGTTGATCATAACCTATGTACAACGTTGTCTAAGATCTGTTATTTTATAAAATACGATTCTGAATTTGTTGACTGTCGATTGCGTTTTTATACATAAAGATGACGACTGAACTTTAAAGCTGTAATCGTCTTTTCTTACGGAACAATTGAGCTATCACTTCTTTGACAGCCCATCTTCCTTGTCGTTCCTATGGACAAAACAAATTTTGTCGAAGTTAACTTATATAATCTCTTTAGTGAAATACGCGACTTTCATCAGGCGATATTTGTTTTATCAATGCGTTGTTCATATTTCACTATACAGGGAGGCGAAGACTCGTCACTTGGAGAATATACAACTCCGGAACAACGCCAAGCTATAGCTGCTGCAAAGTCGATCGAATACTGCCGAGAAGAAGATGGTATTCGCGCGAAAAATCGTCGCCCTTTCCATCGACATCGTAGTATGAATAATCCAAATTGTAGCAAGGATTGCGATGAAGACGAAGGTGATGAAAATGCTGGTGAACTATGGCAACAGGTTATTTTATTTGCAGCGGATAAGCCTGCTTTCATATGTGCATTACTACAAAATGCAGGCTGTGAAGGTCTCGATTCACGTCTGCTACTACGTAAAATATCACCAGACATGACTATACCTGGACTTCGTGATGCAATTGTCAAGCTTATGCATGACTACAAGGTAAGTAGTACTTGTCATCTAGAACTAATTGAGGTATTGCACGAAATTACATGTCTTAGTGCGCTAAATATAAAGTGTCTGAATCATATCGCATTATCTGTGTCGTATAGATGTTAATTTACATCGGTAGTGATTCTATGAACTAAGTGAATCGTAAAATCAGAAAGGATACTTATATCGTTCCGGTTCTACTGTATAAAAATGTTAACTGGAAAGCCGTAGGCTTTTAATCTATAATATAGTTACTGAGTAATAGACTATTTCTTATTTATTTTATGGGGTTTTAGTAATCGAGGTATTGAGGAGACCCAGGGTATTCCTCGAACAAAGCCCCGACGGACCCTGAAAATACTAGGAAACATTTTATCCAATCAACATTGAATAAAAGTTTCTCAGAGACAGAAAATCACATTTCTGACTAGATGATTACCTATCCTGCTAATATGTTTAGTACGGTTTCAGAACCTTCCAAGAGCCCAAAACCATCTGAAATTCCTTAAATACCCCCAATTTTCTGTACATAAAATAACCTTAAAGTAAGGCGTTCTTCTCACACTTTGCACTTTTTCTCGCGTTGAAGTTGTCGTGTAGCGTTAGCCTGGGGTTATTTGAAGAGTTTAGGAAACGGATTCAAGCGTGAAGTTAGGAGATTTATCAAAAGGTGTAGTGTTCCCCATAGGGGGGAACAACATATTAAACCCAATGTTAACTGGCCTTTAATAAACTGTCCACTGACAATGCTTTACAATTGGCATAGGCTTCTTCAAAATGTGTTGTGTTCTTGTCTTTTTCTAGCTTGGGCGAAAACGACATTCGTTACTGTTTAAACGATTTTAAAACTGTATTATCTTCTTGATCTTCAATTTTTTAAAAATTGAGTTGTGTCTTAACAGCAAATATCACCGAAAAGAACATTTTCTTCGCTGAATTGTCTTTATGTCCTCACTAATACAACGGGTTATTTTTGTTAGATCTTTAAAAGATCAAATGGATTATTTCAGAAAAATACCTACCATGAACTGGTATATACAAGGTGTTTTTCGCAGTAGTTTTATAGATTTTAGATGTAATGTAATGAACTGACGAAACAATTCCAAAGCCTAGAGGAAATTGTTTGAGACAGGAAAGGATTAAATTTCTAAGTGTTGCAAGTTGGATCATAACGTCATCGGGTTACAATCTCCATGTAATTAGACTTCAGAAAGACTAAATATTGGTATCTTTGACGTGAGTGTCAGTTTTGCATATCTACTTATAATATTGATCAGAATTTAACGTAAAATGACTTGTCTTTTCATGTTTCTAGATTCAACTTGAACTGCAGCAAAGCTGTTCACGCATTTTGTCATCAGACATGCATCAGTTATTCTTACGTGTTATCAAAATGCAAATGAAAGGAATTCGTGTGAATTCAAGTGCTTGGTCCTCTACTGGATGTGCAGTGTGTCTGCAACCTATACTGAACAATAACGGGCAATCATGGCGAAGTGCAAATCAATCAAAATGTGATGTAAATAGTCAAAACAACGAAGAAAATCATCGGTCATGGGCAATTTTTCATTGCAATCATATTTGTCATGGAGACTGTTTATCTAATGAAGAAACGAAATGCCCTTCATGCTCAAAATCACGTATAATATAATCCTCACTGACAATTGACAAAAGCTGTAAACCTTGTGATTTATTTTATCATTTTAATTTACAAAGGGAAAATATTGAACAGACTATTTTTTTAAAGTTTGATCATTATTTTTTTCTTTCTTTTTGATATAAAAAAACAAACTTTTTATTGTTGAAATCAATTTATTGTTTTATGTGAAATTTAAAAAATATGAACAAAATTAAAGTAAATTAATTAACATTCCCTTTAAAGGTTAGTAATAGGAGTTGTGAATACTGATCAATAATAACGAGAACGCGAAATTCAGCACAATCAACACTGATTTCAATATTAGGTATCTGCTCATAAACTAAACATAGCAAACGAATTATTTTATGTAGCGAAAGATATATTATGAATAAGTTACAGTCGGTTCATTCAACTTTGATTAAACAACAGAAATGCAAATGATGAATTAACATCTAGCGTATCACAGCATTTTTTGATTTTTAAAAGTCTACCGGAATAATTTTGACTAGGATTGACTTTAGCAAGCAAAATTTAACATGGAATGAACATGTTAAGTATAAAATATCTTCTTACTTCGAATTTTGCGTAACTGATGCACTAGAAACAGTCACAGATGATTCGTTTGGAAGGTCATCAATGGTTGATGATTCTGTGTGCTTATGAACCTGTTTAGGTTCATAACGGTGCATACTTCTGGCTGCACGTGTATGGGGGGAAAAAGAATCACAACTATCATTGTCCTCTTCGTCATCAGCAAGTCTATTTATCTCACATTCGCTGCCAGTAGAAGCAGGATTACTGAATAATTTAGAACAATCTGCATTATCATCTTCATGTTCACCAGTGGAGAGGTCGGAACATACACTGTTTGATTCTAAACCCTATAACATGGAATGAAAAAATCACATAATATTAATCTTTATTCGAAAATGTACTTACGAGACACTTAGTTTTAATTAGTAACTGTCTTTAGTTATCGTGAATGCGATATACGTACCTTTACAGAAGCTTCGAGATCTGTTTGTTCATGCATTTTGTTATCAGTGTGGGCTTCTCCTTTCTCTTTGACCCCGTTTCCGTTAGTTTCAAGTCCTTTGTCTGTAATCTGTTGCACATAATTCTTGAGTCGGCGATCGGATTTTCTGTACAATATAATTTCCTAAATGAAAAGAATTTTAATTCTATTAGTACTAGTTTATTTGAATAAAAGGAAATTTCGGAAAAAATGTATCTTTTTAGTGCATACACTAAAAGTAATAAAACTTGATCTGATCGGCTTATTTAAAGTACAATAAATATCAGAAAATCATCAGATGTGGATACAGTGGATCAGTTAGATGGAAGCACGTATTACAACTAGTGTTAGACAACTAGATATAATATTTTCCCCTAAACACTATAAGTACGCCCGAAAGTAGGAAGAATCTACTCTGTCTCTCGAAACGTTCTCACTTGGCCACGAGTTATTTTGACTCTTTATCATAGGAGTGTTTCACAATGCCTTAACATATAGTGTTTTTACGAAAAGTGGGCATCCATAGCTTAAAGTAGGTCAGTAGATCCATCTTGGTAACTTGAGAAACCTTTATTCTGAATCAATGGTGCATACAGACTATAGGGCCCTGAGGGATTAAGGGGCGTGTGAATTTATTTGATTACCGGGCTCCAAAGGACTGAACCACCTGACATCGCTCTAACCCCTGTAGTTAAGTTTAATGCTAGAGGACTGGTCCCATAATGAAGTTGTGCTTTAGTTTGGGCATCTAAGCAGTATTCAAGCTTATATATGTATATGAAGAAAGAATACTAATGAAGAAGAAAAACTAACCCGCTTATCCGACACCAATAATCAGAAAGTACGAAAGACTATCACTTTTCACCATTATTTTATCCCACTTTATTTAATTCCCGTGCCCCTTATGCTCCTTTATATACTGATTTGAATCAGTAGTTTACTTCTGGAATTGATGTCCTGTACGAATGGTCGAATTTCGGAGTGTTACCACAGCATACGAAGTCTGGTCCAATACTTCTGAAGCCACCTATGCCATTTAAACTTGTCGCTGATTACGTTTACACCTTGATGTAGACCGGAGAACAGATGGATTCAGGGATGTATTCAAAAAGCGTTGATGCTAATTTGCATTGTATATCTGGAATCCACAACTTCGCCTGTAGCTCTTCTAGAGTTACTGCCGGTCCCAAGCCCGGGTAAAAGAGGAGGGTTGAGAATAAGGTTAGCGACCCCATCCCGTAGAAAACTAACTCGCTAAAAACGCTAACCAGAAAAAATAATTCAAACCATTTAAAATCTGCCCTGGGAGTTGACACAAGCTGGACAGCAAACGCTAAATACGGGAGAGATGCTGCCGAACTCTGGTCACGAAGAGGAAAATGCTTCACACATTCAGGGAGTTGCTCTAATGCTATCCAGAGAAGCACGAAATGCACTTGTAGGATGGGAATCTCATAAGACAGGAAAACAATGAAAACTTCGTTCCTGAGAAGACTTTCAACATTATCCTGAGCTCATACGACAGACTATAGTGAAAAGTCGCACATGGAGGACAGCTGACAGATGCATTTCCAATAAGGATCGGAGTCAGACAAGGCTGTCTACTCTCGCCATTCCTCTTTATTCTGGTGATTGACTGGATTATGTAAACCTCGACATCTGACAGGAAGCACGGAATACAATGGACATCTCAGAATCAATTAGACGATTTGGACTTCGCAGCTGACCTAGCTCTCCTATCTCATACACACCAACAAATGCAGGTCAAGACAGTCAGTGTAGCAGTAGCCTCAATATACACAAGGGAAAAAGCGAGATCTTCAAATACAACACAGAGAACATCAACCCTATTACACTTGATGGCGAAACTCTGGAAAATGTGGAAACATTCAAGTACCTGGGAAGCATCGTTGATAAACAAGGAGGATCGGATGCAGAAGTAAAGGCGAGGATTGGCAAAGCAAGAGCAGCACTCCTACAGTTGAATAACGCATGGAACTCAAAACGACTGTCAACCAATGTCAAAGTGAGAATCTTCAATACGAACGTCAAAACAGTCCTACTGTACGGAGCTGAAACGTGGAGAACTACTACATCCATCGTCAAGAAGGTACAAGTATTTATAAACAGTTGTCTACTCAAAATACTCAACATTCACTGGCCGGATACTATCAGCAACAGCGTTTTATGGGAGAGGAGAAACCAGCTTCTAGCTGAAGAGGAAATTAGGAAAAGACATTGGAAGTGGATAGGACATACATTAAGGAAATCACCAAACTGCATCACGAGGTAAGCACTAACTTGGAATCCTGAAGGGAAGCGGAAGGCCAAAGAATACATAACGCCGGGAAATACAAGCAGATATGAAAAGGATGGCAATTCGATTGAAGAGGTAGTGAGTCTTCATCAACTGAGGTGGTTTAGACATGTGTTACATATGTCCAATCACCGCCTACCTCGACAGGTGGTGTTCTCTGGTGCAGGAGCAGGCTGAAATAAAGCAAGGGGAGACCAAACCAAAACACGGCGTCAGTTCATGAAGTCAATGAAGATTGGACTACGCCATGTTAATAGGTGTAGACTACCTAGTCGTGTAATAATCGTAACCAATGGTGAGAGACTTTGAGTGACATGGCTCGAAACCGTTTGAAATAGCACAAATACATTGATCTCTTATCTTTCTTTTGAAATCGAGTCCCAAAGTCTCCTCATAACGTTTTCACCGTATCTGATCTTCTCTACAACTATTGATATTGTTACTACTCTTACTAATCTTGTTATTACTCTTACCTAGGTTTGATTCGAAATAATTTCATGTCGTTATGTCAATGCATTTTGATAACTTGAACCGATGCACGTACCAGCTTCTAGGTTGTGGATGACTGAATGCAAGGGTGTTTTTCAAAATATAGCCATATGATTTAACCATCAAGATTAAGAGAGATTCTGCTACCGAGGTTTGTCTTCAGTCAGTCACAACGTAGAACTTCGTACGTACGTACATCAGTTCGAGTTGCCATACCACATTAGCACAGAGATGCAGTAGTCGATTCAAATCCCATAGTGGTAGAAGTAGTAGGAGTATAAGTATTATGTGAAAGATAAGGGTTTGAAGATGTTATTGAAGGAGTATAATACAGCGAAATAAATTTGGAAAGAGAAAAAGACATGAGGAATTCAGAAGATTAGAATTTGGTAGAACACAAAGAGTGGATGCACCTTCGCCATTGCAAACGATTTTGAGCCATGTCATTCAAGTTCTCTAGCCATCGGTTGCTATCATTTCGCGAATCCCAACCAGGTAGTCTACACCTACCAACACGGCCCAGTCCACTTGTCAGTGACTTCATTGATTTGTGCCACGTTTTGGTCTGGCCACCCCTAGCTTTCTTCCAACCTACTCCTACACCATGAAACATTGCACGTCGGGGCAGTCGGTGGTCGGGCATACGTAACACATGTCCAAGCCATCTAAACTGATGAAGTTTCACTACTTCATCAATCGATTTGCCATCCCTACCTAGTACTCGTTTCCTAACAACTGCATTACTTACCCGGTGGTCCCAGGATATACGAGCAATGCGTCGAAGACACCTATGATCGAACACTAGTAGCCTACGAATATCCTCTACTCTTATTGGCCATGTTTCACTGCCATAAAGTAGGACGGAACGGACTGCTGCACAGTAAACCCGTCCTTTGGTTGCTAGATGGATATCTCGTCTACGCCATAAATGACACAATTTGGCAAAAGTTAGAGGAGCCTTCTGTATCCGTGCTGAGATTTCGTCACACACCAGACCACAAGGGCTGACGAGACTACCAAGATAAGTGAAGCGGTCGATATGCTCAACTACTTCACTCCCTATCATTAGTTCAGGTGTCGCTGCAACCCAATCCTGAAGTAACATTTTGCACTTCGAGGGAGAGAATCGCATCCCGAACATGCCTGCATTGTTGCTTATAGTGGTCAGAAGACTGCATGTTGTCAGCGTCTTCACCGAGTAAAACTATGTCGTCGGCGTATTCTAAGTCAACAAGTGAATCTCCCGGTAAAAGTTCAACTCCTGGAGGTTTAGCTGATGAAAGTGCTATCTCTAAAAGTATGTCAATGACAAAGTTAAACAAGAATGGATGGTAAACGATTTTTAACGGTGAGTTTCTTGTAATCCTACCTTAGCTGGTACATGAATATCAAATTAATTAGTAGAGGTTTGACTACCTATTGATTTCAACGTTCCTGCAGCACAGTGGATGCGTGAGGAGGGGTTTGAAGAGTAAAAGAAATGATTGAAAGTAGGACAAAATCAAGTTGAGTAGTTAGAAGTCCATTAACAAAGAAACATCAGGTTTTATATATTGACACATTCTTATAACACGATGGAAGTATTATTGGATGACATATCCAGTTAATAGTCTAAATCCTGGTTAGAATTATTACCATCGGTTGATGCAAAGCAACTAAAGTATTAGAAGATAAATAGAAGTGTGAAAGTGGACATTTCTCTGCCGATATTTCTTAGATAACGGCGTTCATTTTCTTCTTGCCAAGTGCAGTGACACTTACACATATTTGTATAGTGAACAACGTTGTAAGTGACTACGTTAGGTATATAATGTTATAAGAAGTGGATAAAAAGTATATTTTGACTGAAAGTCTAAAAGTCCTTTAATCGCTTAAACTAATTATATCTCCTAATAAGTATAAATAGACAAAACAAAAGTGGAATTTACAATGGAAGTCAATGAACTTTCTATTAAACCACAGTCAACTAAGAATGAGAACCTTGAAAGACCATACCGAGGAAAATACTTGAAGAGGCATAGAAAAGATAGATCTGATTTTATTACTAGGTGACATTGATAGATTTTCAAATAAAGACATAAAATCCTTACTTGTTGCTTGTAATATCGCCGATCCTCTTCATCTAACAGTACTAAGTTCAGGAAATACCTCACAGAAAATTTGCGATAAACATCACGCATAGTGGGACTCAAGCCATAAACATGTAAAAACAGTCTGATGGGAATTGATTCGCCGCGTACTGGTGCACCATCCATTATCTCATATTTCCCAACAGTATCAGTTTCCGTAAAAGCAGTAGGTCCTGCGAATAATGTAAGTTTAATTTTGTGACGAACGCACCTGCACCAATGGTCTCACGCTTCAATATTTGTATCTCCATATTTTTTATTTTAACTCTAACCAGTAGGAAGTAGATCTTACCAATAATAACATCTTGTAAATGGTATCTAAACTGTTAAACATAAAGGAAGAACAACACACTTTGACTTATTGTACTCGAATTCAATGTGTAAACTATCTTCTATCCCAACTTCCATTTGAATGCTGTCACTCGTTTCGGAACATCTCATCGTAGAATGTACAATGATTTCATATTCTTTTGTGATATCAGCAATTCTTTTTTGAATAGTAACTCGCAAAAAATACCTGTTATTTGTAAGAAGTTACATCAAAGTTACCTTAGACGGACATTCGTTCCACAGTATGACTCGTAGGGTTTTTCAATCCGTAGGAACTCGAATGGATAACTTGTTGAATGAGAAAGTATTCCAGGACGTGCTAGATCTTGACAAAGAGCAATAAACTCTTCGCGGTTTCCACGATCTGTATACAATTCAATTTGACCAATAAATTCGATTTTTATTCCTTGATGTTCTAGTTTTCCACCTCTTTTTAAAATAACATTTACAGATCCACAAACGTTTTCACCATCATAATAAACAGGAAGTGAGTGGATTTGACCATCTTCATTCCTGAGTTCCTCCTTTTTTCTATGCTCCTCATCTTGCAAGTTTATTTTAATATCAACACTTTGACCAAGACCCAAAAAGCTCTAATATCAATTAAAATCAACAGAGTGAACAGGACTTAGCAAACGTTAATGAAATATATATGGTCACAAACGTTCGTGTTTTAAGTACTTTAAAAAACTGTAGACTACATACGCCTTGTTTGTCAATAAAATAAACGACACTGTTATGGAAATTTAGAAGTTAATTTGTCAAAAAGGTTAACTGTTTAAACTATGAAATCAATAGAAGCAACGGTTGCAGCACCTTCGAAGGATTAAAAAACTTTAACTGTATGGAGAACTAAACGCTGGAAAATTCAAACAGTAAACAATACATCAGCCAGAATAAATTTATGAATAGAAAAAATGTAGGGTATAGATAAATTAAAATTAGTGGTCTCTGATGTTTAAGTTTTAGCTTGTGGATTTAATTGATTAAAACCGAAGTATCATGTAATAAAAGTGGCGACTAATCTCGACAAGACGCGATAACCTTATCTACTTGACACATCGATTAGATTTCATACGAAGTGGAGCAGAGGATCAGGTCCTACCATGCCAGACAGGTCGGTTGAAGAGCGGTAAGACTAAAAGCAGCAATCCCAAGGTCTGAAGGCGAAGTCGTACTGCCGACTGTACAGAGGTGTGACGGCAGTAAGGTGTTTCCTTCAGACAACCAGCATGACAGCGATGCTGCCTTCCCACAAGGAGGGGTGGGGTTAAAAAAGGTCGACCCTTAAAATGCACACCTCACCTTATCCCACGGATTTCCGTCTCTGGCAATAAGCCCCTTTGAAGAACGGAGCTAACAAGTCAAAAATCTCCCACAAAAAGGTCCTGTGTGACCGGCTTTAAGCAGTTGTCCCTTGGGCACTGCGGTCACGCTACCAGGTCGTAAGACAAACACTAATCCAACTTCTTTTTCAGGTCCCTCAAGAAATACCCTTCCACGGTGTGGGCAGCCGGGAAGTGATATTAGCCCTCATACTCGTAACTGCACACGAGACCAAGTTGGTCACTTTCAAATCCTTCCTACTCCTAATAACTCTCTTATCTCCAAGACTAACCCTTCCCACGTCCTTTTATCACCTCGCACCGCTAGAGTAAACGATTCAAGTACACGAAAAGTTAATCCTTGTCTCCCGAAACCACGCTCTAAACTACATATAGGAACTTTTAATGTCCGAACATTGTGCCAAATAGGAAAACAGGCTTCCTTAGCTAGGACTCTAGAATCTTACACCATCGATGTGTGCTGCGTCTCCGAAACGCGCATACAAGATCCGAGTAGCGTCATTCATTTGACCACACCTAATCAAAATAAAGAACCATCTCGATACACACTTCGTGTATCTGGAAGCCCTGATGCTGCTTCCCGTGGCCTCGCTGGAGTACTTATAGCATTAAGTCCTAGGGCAGAACTAGCTCTTTTAGACTGGATCCCAGTAGACAGTCGTCTACGCGCTGTCCGACTAAACGGATCAGTAAGGACTCGGAAAGATAGGGAAACCCGTCGTTGCCTCTTCGTCGTCTCTGCTTACTCTCCCACTGACTGCAGCTCAGACGATATAAAAGATGAGTTTTACAGGAAACTTTCCGGCCTTCTCCGAAAAGGCCCCCCAAATGCCCTGGTACGGCCGAGAGTGGGGAGAGTCTACTCTCTCTCTCGAAATGCTCTCACATGGCCAGCGAATATATAGCCTCTGCCAGGGAAGTCCTACTCACTGCCTTCTCGTGGCGGTGGTGTTGTTTACGAAAGTGAGAGGACGAAAAGCGAATGTCCGGCGCTATAACCGGATTGGTGGACACGGAGGGTCCACCTAGGGGAGTTGGAAAACCCTGATTCCAAACCAATGGTGCACATGGGCTCCAGTATCCTGATGGAACGAATGGTGGAAGAACCTGTCATTGGTCAACGGCTACCATGGGACTGCATCTCCTCACGATGCTCCACTGCCTTGTGGATCAGACCTTTAGGTCAAAGGCTCGGGGTGTGGTCCCCTAAGAAAACCACCTGCTTCGGTTTGGGCACCCGGGCAGTATCACAGCCCACACACAAATAAATGAAATGATGAATTCTATTGACTATACTATTCTCGCTCACATTAGAAGCCAGACAATTTACACTATTATTATTACCATTAATATGATTATTATTGTTATCATTATTATTATTACTATTATTATTATTTACTACGCCGTTTTTTCGCCCCTTTTATCCCCAATTTGTGTAACCTTACTTTTCAACTTATACAGCAGCTCGCTCTTGGTGGAAAATCTGTCCTATCTAAACGATCTCCAGTCACTGTCTGGTTGAAAGTGAATGCTTCCAACGATAATGAATACTGAGGCAGTCTTTCTGAAACCACGTACGCCGTTCAAGCTGGCTTCCTTCAACGTTCACACACTAATGCAGATCGGACAACAGATAGGGCTGGCTATGTCTTTGGAAGGTCTTAATGTTGATGTTTGTTGTCTATCCGAGACCCGTATTCAAGACTCTAGTGAAGTACTACAAATCCGCTATCCATCTGTCGCCTCGAAAAGCTTGTTCCACGTGCGCTTATCCGGGGACCCTGTGGCATCTTCGTCTGGTCTTGCTGGCGTTGGTGTCGCACTAAGCGCTAGGGCTGAGGCAGCACTAATCAATTGGATCCCCATTAACAGTCGGTTATGTGCTGTTAGATTAGAAAGTTCCATCAAAGTGAGAAGAAACCGGCGTGAGAAACGGTGTCTTTTCGTCATCTCCGCCTATGCCCCGACAGATTGCAGCCCGGATGAGTTTTACCATCAGTTAACAGTTCTTCTCCAGAAAGCGCGTTCGACAGATATTGTAGTACTAGCCGGAGACTTGAATGCACAGGTCGGGCGTCTAGGCACAGAAGAGAGTCATCTAGGTGGCCGATGGGGACTTGTTGGTCGCAGGACAGATAACGGGGACCGTTTGCTGCAACTGTGCACAGACCACAACCTGTTTCTGGCCAGCACTAACTTCCGGCACAGTCATCGCCGGTGTGCCACCTGGCGTCCTCCCTCTGCATCCCAAGCCTGGACTCAGATTGACCACATCGCGATCAGCTACCGCTGGCATGGTTGTGTACAAGACCGCCGCTCCTTTTGGAGTACCTATCTGGAGTCTGATCATGCCCTGGTCTGCGCCAATCTCACCTTACTTTTCAGTGGCCGAAGGATTGACCACCACCAACGGATTAATATTAGTAAACTGGCTGCAACTTCTGTTGCAAGTAAGTATCGAGCGGAGTTAGCCTCTAGGCTAGCTACCACCCCACCGAAAAGTATTGATGAGCATTGGTTGCATCTTCACGACGCCATGAAAATGGCGAGTAAAGCCGCTTGCGGCTTCGCGAAACGTCCCGTTTACAAGCACTGGGTTTCTTCTGGCTCCTTACAACTGATAGAAGCCCGTCGGTCTACTCCGGGTGACCGTGAGTTTGACCACAAACGAAGGCTGTTACGTAATGAAATCGGGCAAAGCTTGCGTAAGGACCGGGAAGCCTGGTGGTCGGAGCGTGCTAGTGAGATGGAAGCAGCAGCTGCATCTGGTAACTGCCGGAAGCTCTTCCAACTCATCCGAGCCACTGGCAGCAAGAAGTCTGGTGTGAGTGAAACAATCTACGAGGATGATGGGATGCCAATCACTAACATCTCTCGACGTCTTGGACGATGGGCGGAATTTTTCGAAGGGCAGTTCAACTGGCCTGCCGCTCCGGCAACATCAACCAGTTTGTCCTGCCCCCCATGGCCGGTGACGACTGATCCACCAAACGAGGCGGAAGTCCGCAAGGAACTCCAACTCTTGAAGCGCTACAAATCACCTGGCCCAGATGACTTACCTCCGGCTCTTTTTAAAGATGGTGGTGACTTTCTGGCTAAGGAACTGACTGTGTTGTTTGCAAAGGTTTGGGAGCAAGAAAGTGTTCCAACATCATGGAATGAGTCAATAGTCGTCCCTATCTTTAAAAAGGGTTCACGTTGTTCCTGCAATAACTATCGGGGGATAAGTCTACTTTCGATTGCGTCCAAACTATTGGCTTCTATCATTCTTCGTAGGTTGTTTAAAACCCGAGAACGATTGACTCGCGAGGAGCAGGCTGGTTTTCGGTCTGGTCGAGGATGCATTGATCACATCTTCACCCTCCGCCAAATGTTAGAACACCGTCATACTTATCGCAGGCCAACAATCGTAGTGTTTCTTGATATCAGGGCGGCCTTCGATTCGTTGGACAGGACTGTTCTCTGGGATTGTCTATTGAAGAAGGGTGTGCCTGAGAAGTTCATTAACATCTTAAAGGCCCTGTATACGAACACCTCAGGCAGAGTGAGGGCATACAACCACCTTTCTCCCTTGTTCCATTCGAGCAGTGGGGTTAGGCAGGGTTGCCCGATCTCACCATTCCTCTTCAACTTTGCTATCGACGACATCCTGGAAACAGCTCTGATGGATGTAAGTAATGGCGGTGTGGATATGTTGCCTGGAGAACGACTTCTCGACCTTGAGTATGCGGATGATATTGTCTTACTGTGCGATAATGCCCAAGGCATGTAATCAGCACTTAATCAGTTGACAATCAGTGTCCGCAGGTACGGCATGTGCTTTGCACCCTCCACGTGCAAAGTACTCCTACAAGACTGGCAGGATTCTAATCCTGTACTCACCCTGGATGGTGAGGAGATCGAAGTAGTTGAGAAGTTCGTGTATCTAGGTAGCTATATAAGTGCTGGTGGAGGTGTGAGTGATGAGATTGGTGCACGTATAATGAAGGCCAGAGCGGCTTATGCCAATCTGGGCCATCTTTGGCGCCTTCGTGATGTTAGTCTGGCTGTAAGTTCGGATTTACAACGCGTCGGTGAGAGCAGTTTTGCTCTATGCTTGTGAAACCTGGCCTCTCCGAGTTGAGGATGTTAGACGACTCTCTGTGTTCGATCATCGTTGTCTCCGAAGGACTGCTGACATCCAGTGGCAACACCATGTTAGTAATGCAGAGGTTCGGCATCGTGTGTTGGGGCGCAGAGACGATAATTCAATTGGTGTCACCATCTTGAAACACCGACTTCGGTGGCTTGGACATGTTTTACGAATGTCGTCCCAGAGGCTTCCACGTCGTGCATTATTTGCCGACTCTGGGACTGGTTGGAAAAAGCGGAGAGGAGGTCAGTGTATGACATGGTGTCGTGGCATGAAAGAGAGCTGCAAAGGGCTAGCTTTTGTTGGTCCTTCACGACTCCCTGGCTGGGGTCCGAGAGATGGTGCAACACAGTGGCTAGAGACGTTATCAGATATGGCTCAGAATAGATGCCAGTGGCGAGCCTGCTGTAACCTTCTTCTACTTTCTGCATAAAGAGTGGCTATAACTTTCCTAACTGAGAGAGCTCTTCTGGTTGTACATTTCAGTCCGCCTTATCTTTTCATCCTTTCCCTTCCTACTTTCATTATTTTGTGTGGCGCATATGTACCTGGTGCCCTTTTGAACCAATATATATGTGTTTAAATAAATATAAATCTCCGAAAAGCTAGGTGTTCTGATGTAGTAATAGTGGCTGGTGACTTCAATGCTCAAGTAGGTAAACTAATTGAAAGGGAAAGACACCTGGGTCGATCTTATGGTGTCGCCGCTAAAAGAACAGATAATGGCGACCATCTGTTGCAGCTGTGCTCAGATAACCGCCTATTTCTTGCAAATACTAACTTTAAGCATAAGGAAAAACATCTTTTGACATGGCGACCCCCGAATTCGTCCCAACGTTGTACCCAGCTAGATCACATCGCTATCAGCCACCGATGGAGGGGCTCGATGGAAGACTGTCGCTCATTCTGGAGCACATGTTTAGACTCAGATCATGCTCTAGTGCGAGCACGTATCTGTCTGCGTCTTACTGGACATAGGAAAGACACTGCGGGGAAGCCTCTAAGGGTTCTACTCTTTGTGTTCTACCAAATTCTAATCTTCTGAATTCCTCATGTCTTTTTCTCTTTCCAAATTTATTTCGCTGTATTATACTCCTTCAATAACATCTTCAAACCCTTATCTTTCACATAATACTTATACTCTTACTACTTCTACCAATATGGGATTTCAATTGACAACTTAATCTCTGTGCTAATGTGGTATGGCGACTCGAACTGATGTACGTACGTACGAAGTTCTACGTTGTAACTGACTGACTGACTGAGAGGATCAGAAGGATTGATACACTCATTCAACACTGTTAAAAGGTGATACGCACTCGCTTAACCTCATTCATACTAAACTATGAAATAAGCAAATATTGCACTTTTCATACAAAAGTCCCTTTGACAATTACAAGTCATCAGGTAAGTGTAGGCTCTTTACGAAGCCGAATGTATTTTTATTATGATAATATAACGTGGCTAAAATTCGACAAATACAAAACTACGAATTAATAGACATATGTTAGCATGTTGAATTTAAACTCATGCCATTAAGATAATTTGAGAAAACATAAAGAAAAGAGGTGGACTTAACACAGGTGTCATTGACACACAAACGCAGTTCATTAGGCAGATTATTTTCGCCTATAAGTATTTCATTTATTTGATTAGTTAAGATACCGTTCTGAGAACAATGGCAATGAACAGTCGTGTTCAGAATAAAGCTTCATTCGAAAAGGCTGAGATCTCATGTTTCATTAAAAAGTATCAGAAACACCAATGACTTATTCGTATTCATACTTCAACAACTTTTAAATGATATTTCAACATGATAGGGTAAAACTTTAATGCTTACAAATTCCACTGAAAAACTGATACTAGGCTGTCGAATGAGTTGTTCAGATTATAGTCATGTAGCATTTTTGGAAATATAATAACCCTGAAGTATTTTTAATTAACTCAGCGCACAACGGTTGTATAAATATCTCTTCACAAAATAACTTGAGTCTTTCTAAATTAGTTGACACACTTTTATGAGATGAAAAATTTCAGGTAAAAAGCTTTAAGTCAGGCTTCTCTAAATACTAATTGGCTGTTTCACACATTACTTATTTGTAATTATGGAATTCAGTACATACCACAAAGATCTTTGAGGCAGTTACCACTGAATATAAACTGTTTCTAGCTAAAGCAGGCTACAGACAAGAGCCGTTACGTGTGAAAACGTAAGTAAAAGACCCAGAAAGATAGAGTTATGTGTTTAGAAGCTGAATTCAGCTTTATGATTATGTGTTAACACATAATCATTGGTTGTATAGAAGTGATGAAAGTACAAACACAACACAAAACTGCCAGTTACCAAAATCTCTGAATTTATACAGATGAAAATCGCGTTGCACTGTCACATAGCTGGATGTAACATCAAAACACAACTAAAACATGAACTCACTAGCATAATAGTAGCGCAAGAAATAGTAAGAGCCGCTCTCGTAGAACTGAACGGTGAATCCAAGATCCAATATCTTCGTCGTGAGCTTGTAAAAACCAACTGATCTCTTTGCGCTCCCTTACATTTATTTCTGTTCAACTCCATGTGTTTGATTATGTTTAATGAATGCTTACCTAGCTACTTGACGGCACTAATTCTGGACAGTTCAGTTGCTTCTGTGGCTTGATATATTCTGTAATTCGTGTAAATGCATTTGTCTCGGGGTAGTAGGGTTTCTGTATACAAACAGATAGCACATTATCAGACTCGAGAACAGTTGATTGCGATTAGAAAATGCTAAGGTGATAGCTGAAGTACAAAAGATAACGACTGATGTACGCAAAAATAAATAATTTGCATTTTTGGTAGTGTGTAAGAAGACGGAATTGAAAGAATAGGAAACAAAACGGCAATGGAAATAAGCGAGAGAGGAAGTACCCACTCATACGTTCTAATTATTATTGTAGTAAATTATGAGACTTGAATCAAACACAGCTTGTCCAAGTGTGAAATTGTAATCCATAGATGAGTACATATTAGTCTCCTTTTGAAGTTAACCACTAATGGGGTTTGGTCACTGCAATAGAGAAAGCATTATGATTAAAGACACCGTTTGGTAAGAAAACATGAGGACTTACCTAAAGGTTTGCTTTATGATCTTTGCCTCCACGACCATGATGGCGACGTGGCACGAAAATTTGACGGGTTTAGTATTAACCCCATATCTACTGCCCATTTCTCCAATATTGAACAGTCATTTTGAATCTCAAGTGGGCTTTTTCGCTCATTGTTTACATCGTGATCTTTGCATCGTCGGCGCTTATCAATGCCCTTGAGCTAATTATAACTGACAGACCTTAAATTAAGATCAAGAGCTGGAGGTTACCTAAGATTGTACCTTGTGAAACTCCTGATGTTGGGAACTAACTTGCGTTCACTGTATTTATTTTGCCACCTAGTATCTTTTTCTGTAGATAGTGATGTAGTGCGGCAACGAAACCTACCTTGGCAACCTTATTTACGTGAAGTATGTGAATCACCGTGTCAAGCGAACTCGCATGGTCGGTAAACATTACATGAGCCGACATTCGTAGGCCCTAGCAGGTCGCTTGCGTGTGAGTAACTTCAACAAGCAGTTGCCATGTTACCTCACAATCATCGGATTAGTTTTGTAGGAGGTTTTAAGATAGGTAAGGGAATATATAGAAGTAGATTAGTAGTGTGTATACTTAAATAACCAGATGTAAATAAAGTTTATTGGAACTGGACAGACATTATAATGTAAGGAAGTTTATGGATAGTGCCAGAAATTGAAAGTAGAAATCATGAGAGCACTAACGTCAAGCCTTATACTCGATCACTTGATATGAAGTGATTGATATATACAAACATGTTTGCCTACCCTTCTTTTAGAGCTGTAGATGGCGTCGAGTCGCCATTGGCTATGATCACCACTATAACAAGATTACGCGCCAGATAACGACTTGGATCTCTCGGTAGGCCGAAAACCAGAAGGCTGTTATCGCTTCAGATACAATATATTTATTGGCGATCTCGTGGTATCGAGAGAATACCGAGACGTGCCAAAGAGTACGGGCGAAATGGCAGAGCGTAAGATAGTTCACACGAACAAGAAAGATAACTGAACGAAAAGTGATTTTGATACAGTTAAACAAAGTGAGTACAGTAAAACAATCACTGGTAGGATTGATTGTAATAATAATTGTTTCCATTACACTAATTGCGTTCTCGTCATGAAAAGTAGATCACTACAGGTGCCCCCATCTGGAAATGGTTTAAACTTTCGAAACTTAGCGGTTTCGTTCGTGGGACTAGACGTGCGATCGTAGGACGAAGACATTGGCAGATCAGGAAGCGATCGTTGATCCTCGAGTTGCCACCAAAGGCCTTTCACGTAGAACGGTACCAGGAGAAACGCACTGTATTTGTTATTTGGGTTAGCGTGCTACACCACAATGGTCAGGTTAAAAAAATCAAAGTAAACGACGAAAGGGTATCATGCGTGTAGTATAGTCATAAGGACCTATACCGTATCCGTTGTTGGTTGTGAGGTTAGTTGCGAAAGTGTACGGGTAAGCGTACTCGGCAACCAGAACGTGAGATGACAGTCTCGTTCGTACCTCGTGAGACTTCAATCTCATTCGAAGTCAAGGTGGCGTGATCTACCGATCTGGACGTGAGACTGAAGTCTCGTCCGTAGACGATGCAGATGACACGTGCTGTTGACTGGGACGTGAGAATGAGGTCAGGGGTGTGTCTAGCGTGGGATCCGAAATAGATATAGAGATCTCGCTAGGAGATTTGATGGGCCTGGCATCGATTCTCGGCTTATCAGGTAGGGCACTGTCATCGAAATGTGCTGGCTTTGGACGATCAATGCTGACTATCTTGACGCGGCCATGTCCATCAACTTTGAAGGTCTTTTCGTGACGGGAGATAACGCGAAAAGGTCCTTCGTAAGGCTGTGTACTCAGATTGACCGTAAGCTGTCGTGTTCAATAGGTGGGAGTGATTAAGCCATTCGCAGTGTGTAGTCGAAGTATCGTAGCTTGAGACTTGCTGTTACCAATGGGTAGGATGGAAACTTTGGCACCTGTACCCACTAGGTAATTTGCGTTAGTATGATAATCGTGGATGTAAAATGAACGGCCGACCTGAGGTGAAGGGCCGGCAGGTACGGCTGCATTCACTCTGTGGCTCAGGAGTTTCCCGCCCTGCATGAGCAGGGAGCTCGACAATGGTGAGCAACGTCGCAGAAGGCACTGTGAAACCAGCACTAACCAGAACTCACTTCCGAAGCTGCCTTTTGGCGCGGCTTGGAAGATGCTCGCTTAGAGCGATTTCTTACGGCTTTACGGGAGCGTGACCTGGGTTGGGTGACGTAGGGTTCTGGGTTCTCGGAAACTGAGACGGGTGTGAATACAGTGATCCCTATCGCCGTGACATGTAGGTCGACTAGCATCGAGGTCAATGTGTGAACGTGATGTTGATGCAACTATGTAGTTGTCTTGGATGTTAGTCCGTGCCAATATCTTATCTGCTATGAGGGCCACCTGGTTGAGTGGAGTGTACTCGAGCGGAGCCGTAATAGCTGGTTGTACATTTGCTGATAAGAATTCGAGTCACAGTTCTTTAACAAACTAAGATTCGGTTGTCGTATTTCCTGCAAGAGATTGCAGGCACGTTTGGTGGTGGCTCGGTTTAGCATCACCGACGTGCTAACAAAGTCCTCATTCGTGACGGGAGGAAATATCTAAGGATTATCTCCTTGAGACGATCGTAGACGTTCGGCACATTTGCACTGAGGATGACCTCACGGACAGCAGTTAAGTGATCCCAGGCGGGGTTTACAGAACGTACTTTTGATGTTGGTTCGTTATGCGGCGGTTCTCAAATTGAGACTCCAGTGCCTCGAACCAAACTGCTGGATCATGGGGGATAAAGGGAAGCGGTCGAAAAATAATCGCCTGTACCTCTGAGTCTATTATATTAATGCTATTCTTATCGTTGTCCACTGATTTTTTTGACCGTCCTATTGGCTAAAGTATAGTGCCTGTGAATTCATTAGAAAAATACCCAAAATTAACATCATTCTAGAGACGAAGGTAACTGGTTATGCTACAAGGCAGTACATGAAAGAGAAGTCATCAGCCAATGAATAGTTACCACAAACGTTTATACATTTTCATGGGGAAGATACACAGGAGGTGTAATAACGTGAATCGGGATTTTTAAGAAGCACATACTTTCCATAGTGGAGATTCCAAGTTGCCTGATACGGAATTCCAATGCAATAATTTTCCACCTTTTGTATGTCTATTTAATAACTGATCGCCTATGTTTTTGCCTTGTGATCTAAGCTTCGTAGAGTTCAACACTTTTAAAACCAAGAGGATGAAGAGGCATTCGAATACATATTAGTCTTTTAGATCAGACGGTATAATTACAACGTTTCTCACAATTAACGAGTGGAAACATACCGTTAGTTTGATACTAATTCCTGTGTTTTGTATATGAAACGAAAAGTTATCTGCATGAAATGTATAAACCACATCAAAGTGCTGAATGACCACTGCATAGCCAGTATAAGTTCTATTGAACAAATAGTCACCACAAATATCTAATATTTTCCCCTCAATAGTTTCAAATATCTTGATGCTTACTATATATAAGTATGGGTATTAATCCTGTACCGTATAAAATTTAACATGTGTCGCTTAAATAGCTTTCTTGATCAACCCATTCGGTTTTCATTGCAATGGGTGAACACATCTATAAGTTTCGCTAACAAAGGAAAAACAACATCTGACATTGTTAACAATGTACTGACATTTTTGTCTGCTGTAATTTGTATAACTGAAGTCGCTCATCATACATAAGTGCATCGTTTCAATAATAAAAGTAGTCACTGTCCAGTTGATCGATTATTACAACTATGAATACACTGCTATTAATCCTATTTTATGGTTTTACACGAAAAATTCGTTACATGATGCATTAGAATCACGTGATAATCACGCACGCTTTTTAAATAATGTGTAGCTAGATGGATCATGAATAAACTGTTACTGGTACCTTTATATTTTAATCTCATTATTCATCACATAAAAAGTAATTCTTATATGCCAGTGACGACCCCTTTTAAATAAGCTTTACCAATGTATATACAAGGTCACTAAAAATCGGATTGAGCTGACTAATTAAGTCTCACATACCTTATATAGATCAGATTACAGTGTTTCTTCAAAATTATGGATTATATTCAACATATTCTACATTGTTAGGTGATTACAAAGCGCATTAACAAAATAATGTGGATTAACCTTCTTTCAATATTTTTTGAAGTAAACAAATTCACAGAAATACACATAATTCTTCTAAAAAAACTGTAGTTATTACTAGCTGAATACTTTTTGTGTTTGGTAATTAACAAGAATCTTAAGCAAAATTATGTGCAGGTATTTGTTTTTAAATGACTGTACATTGTCTACAGTAAAATGGAAAACAAAACATAAATTAAGGTCAACCAACAAACAGACCAGAATGAAGTAGAATATAATTTCAATCTGATGCATTCCTGTCCAGCTCTATTTGTTTATGAATTTTACCAGAGTACTGTATTTTTGAAATAAAACGCCAACATTCAAATAATCTCTGATGAGTGTATTAATAACACTGAACTTTAATAAGTAAGACTTAATCATCTTGCATATGATTTGTCACCGTTCTATTGCATATATTACGCAGTATTTTTCGTTAGTATATTATCATTCAATGGGACGATTGTTCACGGAGGACTGTTGCTTAAGCTAAATGTTTTGAGTTCGCTCTGCATTCTCAAGGCCAAATCAAGTGACGGATGGAGTCCTCACAACTCGTATACAACTAACAGGTTTTTATTTTTAGTCCGACGAAGCCTCCAAGTGTTCTAACGGTTACTAAAATATGGTACTATACGTACAGTTACAACTAAAATAATAGATAAACAACCTTCAAATTTGAAAATCCACTAAAAACACCGACTCCAAGGTAATTCAAATGAACTATAGTGATGAGTAATCTCCTAAAATAAAGAAATTGAGTGGGCTTAGTACGATGATGTTGGTATCATTAGTTTAAACGGACGTGGCTATCTGACTGTACATGGTAAGCATAGACGGGCTTTTGGTAATGCGTCATTCATGTTAGCCACTCCTTCAATCAGTGGGTTACCCGTTCAGATTGTCCCCCCACCCCAGTTTACCTTTGCACTCGGTCACACTTTTCATTCCATACCGAATTATTCTGTTTCTTTCTTTATCCATTAATTATTAGACTCACATAAATTACAAAGCTACAACGTTTGAGTAAGCAGACTATCATTATTGTCAGACTTTGCTGAATCAAACAAAGTTCACGTGGTATTAATGAGGATTGGCAAGCGGCCTCACCAAATTAAGTTACATAACTGGATCAAGAGCTTCTACAGTCAAGATGAACCAAGCTGCAATCGATGCGATAAAATATGGTGATTGTTCGCATCATTTGTCAGCTAACCTATTACTAGGTGTTCCTAAATACCATAAGTGATAAAAAGCCTCAATATTATGTCAAGGTCTAATTGAGATAGAGTGATATACATCCCAACTGGGAAGGAAAAGGATTATGAAACATAACCATATGACTTGTAAGATACGAAATATGACAGCAACAAATTCACATTCACGCGTATCTATAAGGAGCTTCTCTGAGACCGAGGTAGAAAACAATTGACTCGAATGTTTATCGATTGTAAAAGATTGTCATCATGATTAAACCGTATGTATCAGATAAATTATTACCTAATTTAGAAGTGAATGACATGTTAGTAGAATCAGAGTTATAAACGGTTTGGAAAATAAAGCATCAACTAACAACGTGAAAGTGAACTGTTTAAAAAATTCGAACTTTCATTTTCAGGAAATATTACTCAATTTATTTATTGACATGGTTTTATTAGAAGTTTGTACACACTGAAGATGATTTTCATTATAAATAACATTAACTGAAGAACAGTTTGGAGATCAAACTTAGTTGGATATCTGTGCTGTTTACGATTAAGAATCTTGGACATTATGAAGTGGATGTGCTGAACCGCAACAACTCACTCTTTTAACCTATTTCAAAAGGATTCATAGTCGATAGTGACGAATCTGAGGTGTAAGCTACATAATGTTAATTATGGTTTACCTCTGAACACGTCCATAGAACAAGACTGTTAAGGGAACGTCCGGATCAAATGGTCGTTTTACCCAAACTTCGGGAACTCAACAACTCTGAACACTCTCCAGACTATTTCTTACTCTTTTACGTATGTGAAGATCATTCATTGAAATCAAATATTTATCTAATACATCTTTGACTGTCGTAAACTACAGAATCATATAGTCGCCTTTTGATTTGAAAAAAATTGTATCTGAGTCACTAGTCTGATATCTCACCGTTGGCTGATGGATCTCTAAATTAATAGAAGAGATCAAGACGTGATATTCTCAATATAATCAAAATCAAGAGACGTCTTACAATGCTGTTGTAATGTCACTTTCGTCAACTTGATTCTGGTTGAGTCCTTCTTGTGTGCATTTTAGTGGGAGTGGGAAATGTTATATTTGTGATGTTTGAGAGTAAAATTAGGAATATATGTGTTTGTTCTGAATGGAATTAAGTTTGTGGATAGTTGGATGAATACTTTATGTTGGATGGATATTTAAGCCATCCTTTCTTTAAAACGTGATATTTTTTCTGAAACAGCTGGTTACATTTGAATGCGAACACTTAGAAATTCATATTTTTACTCATTGTTCATTCATAAATATATTATTATTTCTGTAATTAAACAAACTGACTGCTTTCGAAATTTAGTAGGTATTTGTGATGTTTCGATTGCAGAAATTATAACATCGATGCATCTTGAAACTTGTACTAAATCCTTCAAACCAATCTGTCGTCCACGGTGACAATCATCGTTAGGCTAATCTTGTTGGCTTTTGAAGTACGAATCCGAGCTACTTGACGAGGTATATAAAATCTAGAATTTACACATTAAACTCTACAGTTACCATTTTAACTTGTTAAAGTTTTTATGGTGTTCAAATCTCATCGTAAGGGAGTTTATTGAGATCATGGATACATGTCGGGTACCATAAACTAATTGACGATTCAGTGGGTAGTTAACATACTGATTGGTCATGGCAACCCCGATGTGAAAAAATGGGACTCACAGTTTCAAATTTCAAGTTGTATTTGGAGCACTAATTCAAGTCATCATCGTCGCAGTCGTACAACAATAGTTGAGTGACATGTGTTAGTGGTGCCGATTTAAACGTTTGAAGATCGTCAACAATCAGCGTATACACACTCTGATCAATTTTTAGTGTCCATATAATTCAATACAGAGAACAACTATTGTCAACGACCGACCACCCCATTCTTTAGCGAAAACATAATTGCTATACAGGATGAAGAATGAAAAATCCCAGTCAATATCTATTGTGATATAGTCGAAAATTCCAATTTCAATTGCGATGGTATTTTCACGAGAAAGTTAAAATAATAAATTAGTTTGTCAAACAAATATAGGTATAGTTTTATAAATCAAAGTGCAACATTTTCATCATATAAAGAAAGAAAGTCAAAAAAATCTTCCAAATCAAAATAGAAAGTCAATCAGATTGTCTATTACAAGGACTATTTGGATGTAGTCGACTTCAATAGTTTAGTCAATACCTGACGAGCTTTTTCAATAAGTTCATCACATGATTCACTCGGATTCTTTGTATCTTTTTGATTCACTTGACATTGAGTGTTGAGCCAATATTTGGCCTTATCAACTATCAGACGCCATTCATTTTCCTTCTCAGGCATACATAACTCCAGAAAAGCAATTGCCAGAGCGGTCCCCCATGTAACATCCGATAGAAATAAGGATTTTTCTAAAACCGAAAATTATATGAGACTTGATTTACAATAATGATTCAATGCGAAATCTTTAAACAGACATTAGTTAATAATAAACAAGTATGTCGAAATAGTTAAATAGTTGATACCAGTGTAAACTTAATACATTTTCTTTCGGTTGCTATAGACTTAATGATATGTGAACAGCGAAACTCGATTGAAATCCATAAAATACTCTCGAATGTTGCTTTCTTGTAATCAAACTGTCAATGTGGGGATGTAATCTAATTAACAATTATAAATATATTTACTCATGTAGTAAATAAAGAAGAAAAAAGTGTACTCACATGAATACACATTGAACCGTTCTATTTGATGCAACACTTCAATAAACTCAATTGTTAAACAACACTAAAAACTACTTGCTAGTTGAATTTTAGACAGAAATAACAAAGATCATATTAATATAAATTAATAACTTAATGAATTTATTAAAATTACCATTTTGTTTTAAAAACTCTCTCAAATTGTCAAGAGGTATTTCAAAACATTCAGATAAATCAGAATTTAATTTCCAGAATCCGGAAAAACTTTGTAATTCAGCAAGTCTTATGTGTTTTTCCATTAATTTAACTGGTTCAATTTTTTGAAATTGATCTAAATAGCAAGATGAAAAATGAAATATGTAAAATATTATCGGGTTTTATACATAATTGTTATAAAGATAATCACTAATAAAACATAAGTATTATTATTATTGTAAGGAAAGATGGATAGTGGCTAGCAGTGGAATCTAGGACGCGCGTTTTGTCTTATTTGGGAGTCCGAGAGTGAAAATCAACTCTGAGACGCAGGTACTTCCAGCTGACTAGTCCCAAATAGGACGAAACGCGCGTCCCGGATTCCACTGCTAGCCACTATCCATCTTTGCTTACAATGCTTGTGAAATAAGGCTAAATCGAGGCAATACGCACAGTATGCACATATGCCAATTAGAGACTGATCAGTTGCAGTCCTAAACATCAATGGGAAGATTCAAACAAAAAATACTAAGTGAATTTATTATTATTATCATTATAAATATTATTTTCCACAATTGATTTGAATTTACACATCGTTGAATCAAAAAGCATAGTGAATTCTTTAGCAAGATTTATACTGAACACAATTTGTTTGTTTCATGTAGCGTATCTAATCTAAAGACTGTCCTGTCATGTTTGGATTGTATCATCCAGAGTAAAAATTAACCAATTGATAGTTGACTCAGTTTGTATAAGGGATTGGTCAATTATGAATAGAATTTTTTATACCAATGTTCACAGAAAATACAAATTAGCTAAACAATTGCTTTGATCTTCTAGATCATAAAACATAACATAGTCAGTGAGAATAAATAAAAGGTTGACTTAATTTAGACTACCAAGAATTGTTATGTTTAACTTTAGTAAAATAATACAAGAATCAGGCAGTCACCTATCACCAACGTTAGGGTAGGATCGTGATATACAAACTAGTTGACTTCATTGGGAAATAAAGACCAGTAACAACAAACTCGATATCTAAAATATATATCGTTCATCATATGAACCCTAAGGCGTTAAGTTCACGCCAGTGTTAGGTCGCCAATACACATAATTGAAAAGTTTCAAACTGGCACGCGACAACTTTTAAGTGATCTTTGATTTTCAATGCGTCATCGAATAATGTCACCTAGTAGAACTTTCTATCGTATTAGTACAAAATCCTTACAAAGTGAATATCATATCCACGATAATGAAAATTTATTACACTAAGCAACATTACCAATATGAGGAGCTCAAAATACATGATATACTCAATTAACTGGAAATAATATTAACTGTAACATGTCATGCAATCAAATAGCGTACATATCAATTGTTTGAGAAAATATCATATAGTAAAATATGAATGGATTAAATTATTTCTGGTTAGCATTTGTTTAGCTCGCTGGAAATTATTATAAACCAGAACGACCAATGAAAAGCAGATAAGACAAAGTAACCACCGACATTGAAGAACAACGAAACAGGTGGGTTAAGCACCTTAAGGAACTCTTCAATCGACCAGCCCCATTGAACCCAGCCAACATCGAAGCAGCACCCACGGACCTCCCAATCAACGTTAGCCTACTAATGATTGAAGAGATAACCATGGCCATCAGACCAGACAATAATCCAGCAGAGGTACTGAAAGTAGATGTAGGGTTACTAGAAAAAGTCTTCAACAGAGTATTGTTAAACAGGATGAAGGATTCTGTGGACGCCCAACTTCGAGATCAACAGGTTGGATTCCGTAAAGATCGATCGTGTAAAAACGAAATCGCAACTCTACACATCATTGTGGAACAATCAATTGAATGGAATTCATCACTTTGAGATGGTGGAGAAGATTTGTAGCTCAGGTGGGTGATTTTTATGTTGGTTTGTTCTCTGAGCTGGATGGTTTGGTCGTGGAGCTTTCATCGTCCTTCTGAACGACATCATCAGCACAAACTTCATCACTCCACATCAGCTTCATTGACTACGAGAAAGCATTTGATAGTGTGAACGGGAAAACACTATGGAGGCTTCTTCGACACTACGACGTGCCCGAGAAAATGGCCAATATCCTACAGAATTCCTATGATGGATTAAACTGCAAAACCATGCATGTTAGACAGCTCACCGACTTTTTTGAGGTAAAGACCGTTATCAGGAAAGGTTGCTTACTCTCATCCTTTCTCTTTCTCCCGGTGATCGACTGGATCATGAAGATGTCAACATCTGGAGAAAAGCACGGGACACAGTGGACAGCTAGGATGTAGCTGGATGATCTAGACTTCACAGATGATCTGGCTCTTCTATCACACACACAACAACAAATGCAAGAGAAGATGAACAGTGTATCAGCAGCCTCGGTAGCAATAGGTCTCAACGTACACAAAGGGAAAATCAAAATCCACCGATACAACACAACATGCACCAATCGAATCACACTTGACGGTGAAGCTTTGGAGGATGTGAAAACCTTTACATATCTGGGCAGTATCATTGGTCAGCACGGTGGATCTGATGCTGATGTGAAGTCACAAATCAACAAAGCAAGAGCAGCATATCAACAACTGAAGAACATCTGGAATTCAAAGCAATCGTCAACCAACACGAAGATCAGAATTTTCAACACAAATGTCAAGACAGTTCTACTGTATGGGGCGGAAACCTAGAGAACTACAAAAGCCATCATCCAGAAGATACAAGTGTTTATTAATAGTTGTCTACGCAAGATACTTTGGATCCATTAGCCAAACACTATCAGCAACAACCTACTGTGGGAGGGAACAAACTAGATTTCAGCGGAAGAAGAAAACACGGAGAACCGATGGAAGTGGATGGGACATACATTGAGGGGAGCACCCAACTGCCTCACAAAACAAGCCCTCACATGGAATCGTGAAGGAGAAGAGGAAGACCAAAGAACACATTACGCCGAGAAATAGAGACAAACATGAGAAGAATGAACAAAAATTGGATAGAACTAGAAAAGAAGGATCATGACAGAGTGGGTTGGAGAATGCTGGTCGGCGGCCTATGCTCCATTGGGAGTAACAGTCGTAAGTAAGTAAGAAATAATAATGGATCATAGGTCGTAATAGATAGTGATTGTCTTAAAACAGATCCAGGACAAATAAAAATACCAATAAGACAAAAATATTATCATAAAGCGACCCAGATAAATAATCGATCTTAACTTAAAACTATTATTATGTCCCTTTCATACAGTACATGATTTTGTTAAAAGCTGACATAATATGTCATTATTTAACAAATATACAGATAAGCAAGTGTACAATTTATTGTATGAGAGTTTTATATCTCAACAGTTGAAATGAGGATATGTGTAAAGGTTTGTACGAAATATGAAGCAATTTTACTTTGAAGGATAAAATTAGAGAACTTAATCATGTAACTAATTTAATGAATTAAAACATTTGATAAATCTCATCAAATGATTAAAAGAAATACACTAGACAATAGTATAATAATGCTTTAAAATAATCTGGGTTTCCTCGTTTTGTTAAAAAAACAAATATGATTACTTTAAATGATGATTTCAAAGTAGTAGTGATAATGTGATTAAAATTCTCAATTTATTTTTATAATTCAAATGGAAGAAATAGGTTAATTTGAGTATTATAACAAATTAAGAGATTTAATAGTACTTATTTTAGAAATGTGATTGTACACATGACTGAAATAAACAATTTACAGAATATTATTCTGTAAAGAAATTATTTAAATAGGCAGGGTTTCTACAAAAAACGTATACATTAAGTTAGTAGATTATACTCCTTTATATGTTTTTGATTATACTGATTGGAAACCTTTAACCTAGATTGAAACAATGTTAGCACTTATCGTTTAGGTGTATTTAGAACCATAAGGAGACAAAATGAATTAGCTGTGACATATTTAGTTGTTATTACAACTAATAGTGAATTCTAATTAATTAAAAGATGATGACGAGCGTACCTTCAGCACATATGCTTGTATCAAAACCCAACGAACCACCGAAAGAGCACATGGGTAAAGCTAAAATAATAAAAAAATGTAATTTAAAGTATGTAATTAGAAACACATAAAATTAAGATAATTACAACTAGTATTGTTCATGATATTCACTCAAAATAAATGGTAATAGAAACACTCTAATTACTACTTCAGTGAACTATGGGTTTTAGTATAGATATGATTTGAACTGAAAATCTTACAAAATAATTTACAATCAGGTAAAAGCAAGGTGTTGCTCCCCATGACAAAAACAATAATGTACCAACGGAGATGAATATTACAAACACTATCATCCAATGTGAGTTATTTTGGATTAATTGAACTTTAAAAATTAGCCAATAATAAAAAAATAACTGTAAAATAATCATTTTGTTTTGTGTGAAGACGATAACTTACTTTTCACCTTCATGTGTAGATTCCCTATATGTTTAGTGTAATTGATAATCTTTACTACAATTACATTACATAATTTCCCAATTTTTAGGATGATGCACACTCGTACCTTATGTTTCGTACAAGAAAAAAGTCTGTAACTGATGTAGATCAATTAGCGATGTTCAATCATCTTAACTTCAATGTAGTACATAATGGAAAGAATACATCTCTCATATACCCTATTAGTCAGTTATTGATATAATTCATTTTACAATATTGTCAATGTATAATATCGTTTGAGTTAGTTTAAAGTTTTATTCGGATTTTAGTTTTTTTTTTCAAATCATCATGATGCATTTATGAGGAAGGATTGGGGATTTCTAGGTTAATTTTTTTATACTATATGGATCATAGTGAAATAGCTTGTGTCCGACTATAAAATTTCACATTGGAATCTGAAATATCGCTGGGTTCGTAAAGTGTATTACTATATCCATCTTTTTAATAAATGTAGTTTGATGTTTAGTACATATGCCATCTGTATTCATGTATAAAACAATATGACTTATAAGTTCATCTGATAATATTTGTATCACTATTTCTCATTATCACTGAACACAATGTGACATATTACAACGGTATATCAACACATGCGCGTGAGTATAAAATAAACAAAGCACACTCTTAATGACTCATAAAAAAGATAATAGCAAGAAACGTGGATGTTTGAATATTTCGAATCAGTAAAATAATATAGAAGCGATGTTAACTTACCGAGGCATTCCATAGCTCCACTGACAGCTGTATAAGTATAGAATATTAACAATAAAATCGATAAAGTAAAGACATATCAAGGAAGTAACGTTTATGAACATGAATAATGGTTTTAATGAATCTAAGAAATGAAATTTCTAGTAGAGTAAATACAACTAACTAGTTAAACTAACCCTAAAAGACCAAGATAATACTCCATGCATTAACAATTACAAAATATTCAAGTGATAAGTACGTTCAACAAATGATTAAACGAGTATAAAACATTTAATTAAAACTAACAAGCATACAATTTTTGATATTTGCAATGTTGATGATAACAATGTTGTTTAACTAAACGCAAGTAGGACTTTCTACTTTAACCAAATGCCTTGCAAAAAGTAAAAACACCTCTTTTACAATTATAGCTAAACTGAACGACATTTTAGGCCTAATTACACTGAACCATCTTATGTAATACTTTGCTTTGTGAATTGTCTACATGTATCAACTAAAAAGCAATGAGTTATTGGTTTATTCTATCAAAAATATAAAATCTTTGATTTGCTAAGCATGATTAAGAGACGGTTAACAAATTCAAAAGTCGAATATGATGCAAACTGAGATTCATTGATGAGTTTAAGCAACAGATATATATCAACACTACGGTAAACTTACGACAATCAATGCTATCATAACAAAAATTCACTGCAGGCATTGCCATTTTCAAAGCTAAGAAGAATAAAGACAGTAAAAAGAAGTGTACATATGGAACGTCTAATATGAATGTTATTTAATAGTTTGAATGATACAATCATTGGTATAAACATCCTAGTCAAAATATCAGTTAGTAAACAATAAATTCTTGGAAGAGGCAATAATTTGAAAGTCGAGTTAGTTGAATTAAGCATAGCACAGATAAATTTGTAGAAAATATTGTTTGTTAATTATTTTCAGAAAAATCTGAGCTGACTTTGTCATGTAACACTATGGAATTCTAAACGAATTAAAAGGATTATAATGTTAGCAAATAAGAATAGTATTCTGACATTTTAAAAAAAGTATTATGCACTATACAGTCATATGGATATCATAAAGTCATAAGAAATAATGATTGTATTTATGGACTTAGATCGCAAACAGCCAAGTAACAATAAAATGAGTGGCATTTAAAATACTTTTCACAAGGTACTGATTTTAATCAATGCACAACGTTACTAATATATCGATGGATAATAATTCAGTTGACAATCAATTAATCTTAGGCACAGCACTTCATGATACTCGACTTGACATCAATAAAACGAGAATAACAAAGTAAAAAGGTCGAATTAATGGTAGAGATAAAATAAATATAGTTTTAAAAAAGGAACGAATGGACAGAATTATACTACACATAGGAGAAAAGTAAAATGTCAATGAGTCTGGTGTTTTGCAAGTGTTATTAAAAAACGTCTTTCAGAAGACACCAATATAAGTAAACCAAGGACCTCTGAGGACAATTGTCATAATTATCAGGTAATAAATCACATGGTGGTGCATAGTATACTCATCTTTTGATAGAAAGATGGACATCTTTGTAGCTCGAAGTTTGACTTCAACTAGCAAATGATAAAGAGACCGTTGGCTTTTACATTGAGAGTTGGTTGACCAATAACCTCATTACAGCTAGTGAAACTCCAAGATAGCTGGCATGAGTACACCAACCAACTCAACCTTTATGATCAAACTAGATATTTAAAGAGACCAGTTCTGGAGTAAGATTTTGAACCGATAGCAAGAGATATGCATCCCACACATTCATTCTTGCCACTCACACTTACGCCTACATACTTAATCAGTGAGGTTTTCATGTAAGAGATCAATAATTTTAAAATCAAGTTAAAATGATCATATATGTGACAAGATCTGGTGAAAATTAAGAAAATGGATAGTGGTGATGGACACTATCTGATGGAAATGAACCAAATAGTAGTGCATCGTAAACTCTAACCGATTTATAATTTACCAACTAACGATTCACAGTAGATTTATGTGGTTTTTGATATGTTTTTCAGCCAACTTACCCTAGATAGCCGAGTATCAAGGGAGAGATATTTCAAATAATACAGCTCAGTTGATTCGTAATGATATGGAAGTTTAATCACATCATCAAGCTGGGTAGTTTATAATCCGAAATTTGTCAGTTACAGATATGGTGAGCGAGAAACCAACCTAATTTATAATACTCAAAAACGTTCTCATATTTTATTCAACCCAAAGGTAAATTACGATAAAGTATTTACAAATACGTATACATCAGTCAGACAAAAAATAACGTTTGATTGGTTTATTTTTGTACTGGTTGTTTGAATCTCCCCTTTGACGTTAGACTGACTTGATAAATCTATAAAATCTTAATTCATTAATAAAGTAATCATGTAAATAAACATTATGAAATAAGTGTTTAATGAATCATACCAGAGCAACGACGGAACATATGAGGTACAGTGACTTTGACTCTTTCCTTGGGATCAACATCTGAAATGGAACAAAAAACAAGCAGAAGAGTAATACAAGTAGCAAGACGGTGAATGAAATGCACCATGCTTTATTTTTTATAATGAAGTAAGACAATTCTAATCACATTACAAGTAATAGAAAGTAAACTACATAAAACAAACAGAAACTTTTACCACAGTACCAATTAAATTCATATTAATTACCTAACTTGGTTGGATCTACAGCAACCAAAGAAGTGAATTTTGATAATATATTCAATTGACATGATAAATCTTCAACTTGTTGACGTATGGTCTTCAGTTCTGTTTCATTTGTTTCATTCATTTCACTCAATTGTATACTATGGTATTCATCTATAAGTTCATTCATTCGCATATTTCCTGCTAGTCGATGAATCGGTAGATTTTCAGAACAATTCAACTTGTCATTTATAGATCTCGCTTTCGATATACTTAATATGAATGATTTCTTTTCACCTAGTATACTACAATTGAAATCTACTTGTCCTTGAATAGTCGATGATTTATCTATTGTATAAATAAAAAAGGCGAAAGAGTATTAGAAATATATATATATATATATATATATATATATATATATTCGTAAACTACGTTAATGATTAGAGACCACGAAACATAATGAATTTATATTATTCTCGCTTTATTCAAATTCATAAACGAAACCAATTGCATGAAATTTATGAAGAGTTGTCCCCCTTTTTATGTTTTCATGTCACTCAATAATTAGGTGATAATCCGTTGCGGGATATTGAGAGAAACAAAGAGATTAAAGTTTTCTCAACAGTGCTTAATTGATGGTTGTTTTCCTTGTCAAATCTTTAAAACTGTACGTGCATGTAAAATACCTCCACCAAAAAATCTACGTGTCACAAAATCTCAAATCGAATGCACTAAGGAACCTATCTTTAAATTCAAATCAGAATTTCTTGCTTTTGATAAAATTGTTATGGATTTAAATATTGTATGTCGAATTAGACTAATGAACTTCATTTATAATGTTCAGTTGAAAACCAACCGTAAATTTATGAAGACATTAACTAAAACAATTATAAAAGAACAAAATCAAGATGTCTTTACTATTACTCCATGAAAGAATATATGCAGAATGTATCGAGTAAAAAGCTAAGTGGAATCGAAACACAGGCACTCTCCTTCAGATTTAAATTTTATAATCGACACAAACGCAATTTGAGTATTTATATCAACAGCTGTCAGACCTCAAAACGATGAATGATGAAAAACAAAGTTGATTGAAATCGAAATCAGTGGATATTACTAATAAATATGTTACAACACCAGTTCCACAATCCAAGGTGTTGACTAAAGAACATCAGCGAGCACTGAGAAAACTAATGAAAGACGAAATAATAATGCAACTTCAACCAGACAAGGGTTCCGTTGTAGTCATCATAAATGGAGACGAATACATCGGTAAAATTATGTTTATTTTAAATGATTCTGCGAGATTCATCATCAACAATACGCAGAAAGACCTGAGAGATGCAACTGAGAAGCCTCTTTCAAAAAAATTGAGAGAACTGTTGAAGAAAAGTTTGATCGATAATCCTACAGAAAATGAACTTATAACGAAAGGATAAAAATGACTTTACATATACAGTTTACCTAAAATACACAAATCTAACGTCCCGATGAGGCCAGTATTATTTGTGACCAAATCACCTTTCTACAAATTCGTCCGCTGGTTGACTAGGTGTTTAGAACTGATCCGTAAGAAACTAGCTCCCTAATTCTGAAGGATAGTTTCGAATTTGTACAAAAGCTTGATAGCTCAAATCCTTCCGAAATATTCATGATATCGTTCGACGTCTCATCTCTCTTCACAAGGATTCCTTTGGAAGAAACGGCCGAAATTGTATATGTGAATATCTTGAATTATTTCCTTTGCCAATCAACGGATTCAACACAGTTCCTGTTCTGGTGTACCAAAAATATATAATTTCAACTCAACAGTGTGTTGTACCACAAAGTGATGGAGTAGCTATGGGTAGCCCTCTCGGCTCAATCCTGGCTGATATATTTTTGGAGAACCGGGAACAGAGGAAGCTCAAACACGTAATCGAAGGAACTACACTCTACTGTAAATATATTGACGATACAATTACAAACATTCTATGCACCTACTCAATGTTTAACAAAGTACACAATGATATAGATTTTACTATGGAACAGAAAGCAGAAGGTGAATTCCATTTCTTAGATAATAGAATCGAACGAACTTCAGACAGTACACTACAAAGACACATTCATCGTAAAAATACATGGAATGGAGTTTATTCAAACTACAACAGTTTCTGTCCAATAAGTTATAAAAAGGGAATTGTACGAACCCTTTTTGATTGCCCAGTAAAATTTAGTCAAAGGAAAGCCTTGAAGAACTTGCCTTCACTACGAATTGCCTACGTATAAATGCATATTCAGCGAAATTCATAGAAAAGTATGCCAAAACCAACCTACGGTTTAAATAAGATACAGTAGATAAGAGAACCTGCTTATCATATCTTCTCTTTAAAAGAGATGTAATCACTGGAATAATTAATAGCAGGATAAATGTCATGTTGAAGGTTGCTTAACCATCATCAAGACTGACGACGTTATGTGAAACTGCCAACTCAGGCAAGCAAAAATTTACAGCTCCCCTTTTTCCAGTGTCTCCAACTGCATTTACCAATCTACATAAAATTGTCAAAGCACATACACTGAAAGGAGAGAAGAGTACATGTTTCCATTTCTGAACACGTTCCAAAGAATTTAAGACTGAGGCGCAACGGCTCTAAACAGTGCAATAACTTGACATACTATTGAAATCCCACTAGCCTTCAAATCTATCAGCAAGCAAAAAAAACGCAGGGTCTCCCCAGTTTGTCGAGGTAATGATCATGGTATTTATTCCAAATAGATTCAGGGTCAGGGAAATCTTTGAAATAAATGGTTATGAAGAGTTGAGATCGATGTACCGATTTGTATACGTCTGTTTTTGGTATATGGTTAAATTCAGATTTCCATTAGAATTTCTTTTAACTAAACAGTGTAAGAAAACCAACCCACAATGTTCATCTTCCTTTCCGAATGTGAATTTAATGTGATATAGGAAATTTCCAGTCTTTTTAATGATGACAAGTGTGTCACTGGCGTACCTCAACAAGATGTGTAGTCTAATAGTTCTGGAGAAAATAAGCGGCTAAATGTGGGACATAAATAAATTAGCAACAATCGGAGACACTCGAGATCTCATGACCACTCCACTTGTTTCTTTATATTGTCCCTTTGAACTTTTGTTAACTTATTTTAGTTATTTAGTTGTTTACTCTGAAGATGTGGCTTATACAAAGTTACGAAACCTAAGAAATTCAAATTTCTACTCATTCGGCTATCACAAATATACCATTAATTAATTATCATAATGTTCGTCTGACTATCATAACATATACAGCTATTCATTAGTTAGTCCGTTAGTGACTACTTAGCTGTTTTGACTGCTATACTTCATATAGTTACTAAGTGTTACTTAAAAATAACTGAGAAATTGGACATATATTGTAGTGGATTGTCAGTAAAAGGTAGTGGTATGATAAAAAAAAACACTGGCAGAAAAGCTTACATAAGTGTACAAACTATAAATAACTTGAAAATAAGTGTTACTCACAGTATATACCAACACAGACAGGTTATCAGTGGTTGTATATGCCATGATGAGGACTCATTTTTAAATTACACATTTTGGATAATCGTAAATATAATTACATTTACTAACCAGATTTGAAAAAACCGAAATATGTCGAGAACCGATCAGGGAATACTGGAGCTATTCGCTTGGGAACAACTATCACTTCTATTGGTTTCTCCTTGCCATCATGAAATTTCTCGACTAACTTCCAATCCATTTCAATATTATCAGCTCTTGGCTGTAATGCAGCTGAAAGAGTCCTCATCACAGCTGACTGCAGCTGAGAACTAAATTAAAAATAGTTGAATATATTAAAACAGCAAAATTTATACATTAATCTACACATATGAGAGTTGATCAAGAGAGGAAGAGAGATACGCGATAGCATAGCTAAGACGTATTTCACAGGGTTCATTGTATCAAATTGTGATAAAATGGAGTAAAAGTTTGACCCATCACGCCATTTACTTTAAGGTAAAATCCAACAAGACTTAATTATGCTGATAATTTAATTTGTTCACGTCTCGCTTATTAGTAACTGAAATGCAACTTCAATCATGCCTGTTACATAAACACATTCCTTATTCAGGATGAAAACCAGTGTCTATACAAAGAAAAATTCATTTAAACATAAATGGTACGCTTGAGACCACTGGAAGTACTCAAATATTTCAGCACATTCTCACTGGCACATATATCCCTTAGTTGAAGTCTAAAGAAAATCGATAATGGCTTCTGTCTAATAGTCCCTTGATAGCTAAATATTTATTATCCAGAAAATGATAAGGCCATAATTTTGTAGTGAGTTTATGGATGTAAAATTCATTGAACTGAATCATTTGTAAAATAAATGAATTTAATACTGTAATTTATGTCTCATGAAATATTGAACTGTAAGTAATCATTATCTTCTTAAGCATTTCTTTCGAAAACGAAATTAATTAGCTTGATTATAACATAAACATCAATTGGTGAATAAAATCTAATATAGATATGATCACAGTAAGTCAGTCAGCGACAAGGTAGAACATCGTACGTACGTGTATCAGTTCGAGTTTCCATATCACATTAACACAGAGATACAGTGGTCGATTCAAATCCCATAGTGATAGAGGTAGTAAAAGGATAAGCAGTAATCGAAAAGATTAAGGTTTGAAGATGTTATTCAAGGAGTACAATCAAGTGAGATAAATTCGGAAAGAGAAAAAAGGGACATAAAGAATTCCGAACATTAGAATTTGGGCGAGCACAAAAATTGGATGTATCTTCGCAATTGCGAACGATTTTGAGCCATGTCATTCAAAGTTTCTATCCATCGATTGCTATTATTTCGCGGATCCCAACCAGGTAGTCTACACCAACCAGCATGGATCAGTTCGCTTGTCAGTGACTTCATGGATTTGTGACACGTTTTGGTCTGACCGCCCCTAGCTTTCATCCAAGCTGCTCCTACACCATAAAACATTGCACGTCGGGGCAGTCGGTGGTCGGGCATACGTAACACATGTCCAAGCCATCTCAACTGATGAAGTTTCACTACTTCATCAATCGATTTGCCATCCCTACCTAGTACTCGTTTCCTAACAACTGTATTACTTACTCGGTGGTCTCAGGATATACGAACAATGCTTCGAAGACACCTATGACCGAATACTAGTAACCTACGAATATCATCTACTCTTACCGGTCATGTTTCACTGCCATAAAGTAGGACGAAATGAAATGCCGAGCAGTAAACCCGTCCTTTGGTTGCTAGACAGATATCTCGCCTACGCCATAAATGACACAATTTGGCAAAAGCTAGAGGAGCCTTCTGTATCCGTGCTGAGATTTCGTCACACACCGGACCACAAGGGCTGATGAGACTCCCAAGATAAGTGAAGCGATCGATATGCTCAACTACTTCACTTTCTATCATTAGTTCAGGTGCCGATGCAACCCAATGTTGAAGTAACATCTTGCATTTCGAGAACGAGAATCGCATCCTGAACATGTTTGCATTGTTGCTTACGATGATCAGAAAACTGGATTTTTTCAGCGTCTTCACGAAATAGAACTATATCATCAGCATATTCTAAGTCAATGAGTGAATCTCCCGGTAAAAGGTCAACTCCTGGACATTTAGATGATTAGTGTTATCTCTAAAAGCATGTCAACGACAAAGTTAAACAAGAATGGAGAGAGTGGACAGCCCTGACAAACACCACTTGAGGTAATCAATTCTGATGACAGTTCTTCATAATCTCTCACTCGGCCAGTTGTGTTCGAGTAGAGTTTGTATACGTCTTTGGTACTCCTTTCAGTGACAAATACTGTCACATAACTTCACGATCAACAAGGTCAAATGCCGCCTTAAGGTTAAGAAATACTACGATTGTGGGACGTCTGAATGTGTGTCTATGTTCTAGGACCTGACATAGTGTGAATATCTGGTCTATACAGCCACGTCCAGGTCGAAAGACAGCCTGGTTTTCTTTAGTCTGCTCTTCTAGGGTTTTGGTTAGGCGTCGAAGTATTATTGAAGCTAATATTTTAGACACTATATTAGTCAAACTGACCCCTCTGTGATTGTCACAAGAGAACTTTTGTCTTTCCTTATAAACTGGCACAATCAGTGATTGGGACCAGTCAGATGGGACTACGTTCAGTTCACAGATTCTACCTAAGACCTCGGTCAATCTCGCTGCTAGTACTGGACCGCCATCCTTATAAATCTCAGGGATAAAACTGTCAAGGCCTGCTGCTCTCCCTCGCTTCAGATTTCCTATAGCTTTTTTAACTTCGTAAAGGGTTGGGAGACTTACATTAGCTTGCGACTCAGGTCGACTCGAGATCGTGGGAATTCAAAGTGTGGCTGAAAGATACTTGAATCGATTTCTAAAGTGTTCTGTCCATCGACCCAATCTCTTGGATTGAGAGTGAATAATATGTCCATCTCTTTCCGAGATAGTTTCGCTAACAGTTGGATTCCTAATACCGATTTCCTTGACGAGTCTGAACAGTTGTCTGCTGTTACCTATTGCCGCTGCCTTTCCTATCTCTCTTGCTTTCACTACCAACCACTGTTCACGATCATTGCGTAGGCTTCTTGTTAGTCTGCGCTTAAGCTGACCCCAATATTCGTTATGTCTAAAGCCAGATGGGATGAGTTTTCGAGCATCTATCTGTGCGGTAGATGTTGCTAAGATCCAATGTTTCTCCCTAACCTAATGATTTACCGTATTAGCGGATATCACTGCTGTTTACACAGCTTTTCGGATGTCATTCCACGCTGCCTCGGAGTGGACACAACTTACATTGCTGCCTAACTGTTCATCTAGTTGTTCCTGGAATATATTCTTAGCTTGGCTACCATTAATTAGAACCCTAAGAGGTTTCCTTGCAGCATATTTCCTAAGTCCAGTAAGACGCAGACAGATACGTGCTCGCACTAGAGCATCATCTGAATCTAAACATGTGCTCCAGAATGAGTGACAGTCTTCTATCGAGCCCCTCCATCGGTGGCTGATAGCGATGTGATCTAGTTGGGTACAACGTTGGGACTTGGTCTTGTGTGCTGCTACGGGTACGAGGACTGATGTCACTTCCCGGCTGAGCACACCGTGGAAGGGTATTTCTTGAGAAACCTGAAAAAGAAGCTGGATTAGTGGTGGTCTTAACGACCTGGGAGCGTGACCGCAGAGCCCAAAGAACAACTACTTGAGGCCGGTCACGCACGGCTTTTTTGTGGGAAGTTTTTGACGTGATAGTTCTGTTCTTCAAAAGGCCTTACTACCGGAGAAAGAAATCCATGAGGCAAGGTGAGGTGTAACATTTTTAGGATCGACCTTTTCTAACCCCCTCCTTCTTCGTGGGAAGGCAGATTCGCTACAGATACTGTTTGTCCGAGAGGAAACACCTTATTTCTGTCACACATTTCTACAGTTAGCAGTAAGACTTGACCCTCAGACCTTGAGTTGCTGCTTTTAGTCATAAAGTTCTTCGTTCGACTTGCCTGGAATGGTAGAACCTACAACAACATATGTTCCAGCCAACATAGCTCGGTTGGGTTATCACGATAGGCAAGCCCGACCACCACTTCAAAGTTGTAGCTACGGTCGGGATGATGACAGCAAAGTCTTACATAAAACCTTATGGCAGCGTTGTTGAGTAGTAGGAGCAACCTTACTAGCTAACGTGGGCGGCCGGCGAAGGTCGGATTAACCCACCACTCTGCTGTAAACCATATTGACTGGGTCAATTTTTCAGGGCTCTCTAAAATCTTGCAGGGTGCCCGATGTCCATGCTTATGCATATGAATAGCGCGAGTTTCAGCTTATGTAGTTTATGTATGTAGGCATACGCAAAGGGTAAGCGCGTGGGTTAGCACAAAGAACGGCATCTGGAGAATGTTTGTTCTATGTGTAATAAAGTAAGCTCCCTAATCCTTTAGATCGAAAACAATTAAGAGAAATAAAACGGAGAGAGGTGATCATCAACCTTCCCTAAAATAGTGCTTGTGCTTATGTGTATGTCATGAAGTGTAGGGAGGAAAATCTTTGTACCAGTGAGTTTTAACTTGTGGCCTGTGTGCCCTGTTAATGTATAACGTGATAATACCGCCAATTAGAGAGCAGTGATTTGTCGATCGGGACCAATGACGCATAAAACCTGTACGAGCAGTCTAGAGTCTCTGTCGGTCCTCGCTTACCGCCTAGCCCTGCCTGTCAAGTTCAGAACATCAATAACAGGAAACAACATTTGTACAAGATTTAGCCAAATATGGCTGTGAACAAGGGAGATAGTAATCGATAGACAGGGCATAACTCAAGAATGGTAAATCGTATAATAATAGTTCCTAAGTCAAAATAAAGCTCACAGTAAGAAGGACATGAATATGAATAGTTTAGTTATTTAACAACCACAAAATAAAAATATACGCATAGTATTAGTTCATAAATGGATCCCCAATGTTACTATTCGTTATTCGGGATATAACACAGCGATATGCATGTAGTACCTAAGTGACTGTCAATTATAGCAAATGCGTTTGAACGAAGTGGTGACTGATGATCTACCCTCCCAGATGGGTGGATATATCTATATGTATGCTATGGAATGGGTGAGTAGAATCTTGTGTATTATTGGTGTGCATGTAACGTATATCTATGAGTATGTCAAAGAACGCATGAGTGAAAACTTATAAGTTTCCAGTATGAATGTAGATTAAACTTGCCCCTGGTGTGACGCCCGCGGGCCAAGATCTGGGGTAACTATCTTCTTACAAAATCACATCCACGCGGTAGGTTTGTGAACCTTATAAAACCCAATCAGCTTCACCTGATAAGGCTTGACCAACCTTAACACGGACGGAACACCGTACGAATACGGTTAGTAGAATAACAAATACATAGCAAAAGAGAATTAAGACTAGAATAACTAAAGTGCCACTGAAATACAATTCAGAAAAGAGTTAAAAGAGATAAAAAGAAAATGATGTCCTATAGAAAAAGCAGAGAAACAAACACTTACGGATCACGAACAAATTCTGCTGTACCATTGCCAGCTCGAGCAACACCACCAATTAATGCAGTACTTACTCCCTGTCCAAGTCCTATAGTAAATACTCTTGCCTTGTCAACATTCATTCGTACCAATCCGATAACCTAAATATTTATGAAATAAATATTGGTGAATTACAGAAATTAGTTTTAAAGTACTTTAATAAACATTAATTTTGAACAAGCTTTAACTGGCTTAATTTAGTTTATAATTGAATAATCTCAGCAGTTCAGAGTGTAGTAGAGTTTATCTAATCATATTAAGACATAGTGATATTCATAACAATAATATAATAATACGTTTGTCATATCCCAGTGAATTTATAATCCTCACCAAAACACTTTGTTCTTAATACCCTGCTGGATAAGAAATTGAATTTCCAGCGTTTTTCACCTAAGGAGACTTATCCAAAGTCATGCAACATTAAAAATTTAAAGCTCTACTCCTTGGAGGGTTGAAGATACATTTTTGTCTTATTACTAAGAATAATCCAACTAATGTTTGATGTATTTGAAAGTATAAAGTCAAACCATAGCAGTGATACTTATAAACTGATTTTTATTGACGAAGCAGTCTCCAATTAATATCATATTCGAATGTATTTATCTTTCTGAAGTTGTTGATAATCAGGAAGTTAACACAATTTTAAGTATTATGTTTGAAATACGCTCGTATAAAATTTAAACAGACGCTAGTTAGGTGTCTAAATCACAGTTACATTTACAATCCATAATATAAAGGCATAAATTCGAAAATATCCTATTAAGTCATAGCTGTGTAGATTTCTAAAGACCAATACATATGACAACTAAACCGACCACCATAATATCCACTTCTACTCAACTAGGCTTGAAGTTACTATGGTATATTTACTTCATCTTAGCATCAAAGTTATGTAATTACAAATTATTTCATTTTGAATAAATTTACTCAGAAATTTAGTACCTTCAAATACTGATTTTTGTAATTAATCATGAATGTTAACAGGCGTTCAAAGCAAGAAAATAAATAAACACAATGTGAATACTACAGTCGACCTCGTTGTTACCAGTAGGTGGATGTATGATGACTTTAGTCATTCAAAATAAGGGATTCAATCAAGTAAAAGAGTTATAAGAAAACAAAAGACCTACCTCATCTGCATTACCTACATCACCGTCCGTAAGAAATATGATTTGTTTGAACCAACCTTTACCACTCGGTGTTGAATGTAGAGCTGCTTTTAGAGCATTGTAAGCTTCTGTACCACCCATATCAGCATTCAGGTCTTTTTGGTAGTTCATTGCTGTATTTAACGATCCTTCAGAATAGTCTGTAGGTCTAATAATAAGGCAATTCAATGAATTAGTAAACAAAAATGATAAAAACCTTTATTCCCATCAGAAATAATGGTGAACAAAAGACTGACAGAACAGCTATTTTCGTCATTATTTCACATTTAACTTAAAAGTCTAACTGTATAAACCTGAATAGAACAGATTAACTTCGAATAACATTTTCAGTAAAGTGTAATTACGAAGACATAGCTTAATCCAGGTCCACTATCATAGTAAAGAACATACATAGTCAGTGAATACCTGATCTCTTCAAAGTACTGCTTGCATATGAGAAAAGCACGAGGTGAGTTGAGTTGTGGTTACACTATTTTTCAAAAAAAGTGTCCACCAGAACCCCCGAATGCCCTGATACGGCCGTGTGGAGAAGTTCGGCTATTAAACGAAATGCTTCCATATACCCAAGCGTTTATGGTCTCAAACACAGAAGTACTACTCATTACGGTCTCGCTACAGGATGCTCTTTGTGAAAATGATAAGACAAAAGACGAATTTCCGACTATTAGACCGGACTGGTAGATACGAACGGTTCACCGGCAGGGGTTGGAAAAACCTGATTGGGAACAAATGGTATACATTAGCTCAGAGGGCAAGAAGGAATGTATGACATATGAACCTATTTTGATCACTGGCTACCACAGGACAGCATCTCATAAAGTTTTTCTAGTGTCTCATGGATTAGATCCCTAAGTTAAGCGCCCCGAAATGGACCCCAAAGAAAACCAACCGGCTTTGGTTTGAAGAATGAAACAGAATCCTAACTCTCAAAAAAATATTATGAAGATTACTTCTGAAGAGAATGTCCTCGCTCTGCTTCACTATTCATCCAAACAATATTTACAGTCATATGTTTACATGCAAATTTATTTTATGCGTGGTCTTCCTGTTCATACTTTTATTCTTCAACTCATTTGACAACTTGTCTACAGCGAAAGTTTTGCTTAGCCTAAACGATCTCAAGTTGCAGAATAGTTGAATTTATGAATTTCGGCATCAAACACGATTCTTGATACTGCATTTCCGAAATCACATGTGACATTTAAACTTGCTTTTTTTAACGTCCCACACTGATGCAAATCGGGCAACATATAGGTTTGTCTATGTTTTTGGAAAGCTTTTATGTTAATGTTTATCCTATTTCTGAAAAGCTTATTCAAGAATTAATTGGAGTAGTACACATTCCTTATGCAACTTCCGATTCAAGAAGTTTGTTTCACGTGCGACTACCTTAGGACAGGGTAGTATCCCCAATTGATTTAGCTGGCGTCGCATTAAACCCGGAGCAGATGCAAGAGTAATTAGTCGGATCTTTATCAACAATAGTTGATGTGATATGAGAAGAAAATGATAGGGGAAACAATGTCTTTCTGTTATCGTCTACACCCCGGCAGATTGTAAACCCGGATACAATAATGGATGAGCTCTACCACCAGGTAAGTGTACTTCCGATAAAGCGCATTCGACAGATATTGCAATGCTCGTCGGTTTTGTTGTGCAGGTCGGAAATCTACGCACAAAGAAGAGTCGCGTGTTTTCGGTGAGGAATCAGTAGTCGCAAGTCCGACAACGATGAGCATTTCCTGAAACCTTGTGCAAACCAGACTGTTTATGGCTAGCCTCAACTTTTAGCACACTTATCATTGGATTTCTAGCACCCTCCATCTGAATTTCGAACCTGAACTCAGATTGATCGCACTGACACCAGCTACCGCCGGCCTTAATGTGTATAAGACTGTCGCTCTTGTTGAAATGCCTGTCTGAATTTTGATTATGGCCAGGTTTTCGTCAAGCTTATTTTGTGTTTTGGTGACCACTAGGTATCTCATCTTAAACGGACTAATATAAGGAAACTGTCTGCAGCTTCTGCTGCAACCAAATATCAAACCGAGCCACGATTGAGTTTAGACACTAGTTCATTGACAAGTATAGATGACCATCGGCTGCTTCTGCATGACGATGTGGAACTGGTGGGTCAAGTCGCTAAGTTTCTACAGGCTCCTTAAAACTCCCTGAAGTATCCCCATCTACTCCGGCAAACTACGAGTTTAATAATAAATGCAGATTCTTGCGTCAAGTTTGTGTAAGAGCTGAGGAACCCTGTGACCGTAGTGTGCTAATGAGTTGAAAGCAGCAGATGCATCTGGCAACAGATAGACCTCATTTCAACTCATCTGAATCACTGGGAGCGGGAAGTCCAATGTCAGTTATAAAATCTGTAAAGTTGATAGTACGCTATTCAGTAACATCTAATGGATTCCGGAGTAAGTTTTCCGGGGAACTTCTTGTCTGGTCTATAGCCCTAATAACGTCAGTCAAAAGGTCTAGTACTCATTGGTTGGTAATTACTGACTCACCTAACAAGAGGAAGTTTTACTAGGAACTCCAAATTATTAAATGTCACATGTCATCAGGCACTGACCCTGGTTCATTTTAATGATGGTGGTAAACCTCTAGTCAAGGAACTGACTGGGTTGTTTGAAAAGGTCTGGAACACTGAGATATTCCAACATCTAAGAATGAGGCGATCGTCGTCTTCATCTTTCGAAAGACCCTACGCCACTTATGCAGCAACAATAATGAGGCAGGTTTACATTTGATCTCATCCACATTGATGGCTTCCGTCATACTTTGCAGATTATTCGAAACCCGCAAAAGATTGACTCGTGATGAACAGATTGGTGTTCGTTATGGTCGTGCACATGTATATCACATCTTCACTGTCAGTAAATGTTGGGGAAGCGCCACACTTATCTGAAGCCAAAAATCATAGCTTTTTGATTTCAGGGCTGCCCACGATTCGTTGGACAGAACAATGATCTAAGATTGTCTATTGAATATTAATGTGCCTTAGAAGTTTATTAAAATCTTGAAGGCGAAATGAGGGCATAAAATCACTTTCTTTCGTTTTTAAAATCCAGGAGTGCAAAATATCACCATTTCTCTCCAACTTCGATAACACTAGATTCTGAAAGAAGTACATGTTTGTGGCGATGATTCATTACCCAGAGAAAAAATTTCGACCCTGAGTATGGGAGTGACGATGTCCTACTGTGAAATAATACACAAACAATCCAAACTGTACTTCGTCATAACTTTAACCGAGCTGTTTCACTCATGATATATTATTCTTGTCAGATTGCCTTTTTTCTAATCGATAGCACTCCTTTCCCATAACTTATTTCATCACAACATTCTCTTTATTTTGCATGACGATCACTATTTTTGATGCCTAGTAGTACCATATTTTGTGCATTACATAAAACAACTATAAAGGTCTGATTCCGAGTTCGACTAAGAGTGAATAATGATTTTGGATTTGCAAAGTGAAAACGGGAACTGATTGTATGAGAAGCCGAAAGGATCATGTGTTTTTCCGTACACTAGTGATTCTTTAAAAAGTGGCCATCTTCAACGTATACGATTCTCGGGGAAAGCTGATGAGTCATTACAATATTGACTCTAAATAACATTCTGCTTACTCTGGAAATAAAGCAGCAAAATAACTCCCGAAGCCAACAATTTGAAAACGACAACTCATAGGTAAGCTCTTTAGGAAGAGAAGAAGGGAGGTCTTAGCGTAAGAAATATTATCACCTTCCATACTACCTGTAAATTCAAGCAAAAATTTGTGTTATTCTTAATCACAAGTTATTCAGGAAAATAATAAAGATGAGATTACTAACGAGTTATAAAGTTATGACTTCAGTTTAAACTTCTAAAGTGAGTATTGATCCCTGTTATTAGCCACGTCAAAAACAATTAAGTGGAAGTTTACCGAATTACGAGACTTTTGTGGTCGTCAGTTATTGGCAAAAAGTATCAGTCATACAAGAAACCCTACACCGTGTAATTCAGTTAACAGCTCTCGTCACATTCACTGTGAAACACATTTAATTTAAAATATTCTATAAGAGCCATGAATAAATGAAGCAAATGTTATTCAATACTATCATAAAATCGATTACACACATAAGTTATCTGTTAACACAGCACTACATACACTGGTGTGCACTCGGGTCACTGTAACTTACAGTACTAAATAACCCTGTTGAAAGAAGAGTTTACTGTTTATTGTTTTCTACTTACAGATGCCTAGATGTGGGCTTGATGTTAAAAATCACAAAAATAATGAGCTAACGAGCAACCAACAAAACTGTATCCAGCAAGACGAATGAAAAAAATGAAATGACTAACCTGAACGATCGATTAAAAACACGAACTCATATCGCATGTCTTTAGAACTAACAACATTAGGAATATCAGGCAAAAGCTGTACCATCAGACAGTTCATAGCCAATATAGACAACTGGTTTGGATCACCATATTCCAGAGATGACAGAGATGTAAGTGGATCAGAAAGACTTAGAACCATTTGAAGATCATGATCTGGTATAAACTCAGAGGAAAGTTTGACCTAAAACATTGATTAAATTAGTTAGTTCGTGTGATATACCAATCAACTACACATTTGTAAACATGGTTTCAAGTCATATTATTGTGACGATTACCGACACTACCTAAAAGCCCATACAGGGATTGAGGTGCAGTGATCAAGAGTTGGATAGTTTGACCATCAAACCATAGTTCTATTGACTGAGGAGAACGGCTGCAAAATCCTTATTTTTATGCTATAGAAAACCAACAAGTAAATCAACTGGTTCACAACATTTAATACTTTTTAGATTGTTATTACCATGGAGGACAAAACCAAGGTGTCATTTCTCACATCCAAGACTACAGATAATTTTAAAAAGCAACTCATTGGAAAATTGTGTAAACGATTTCATTTCACATAAGAAAATTATAGCAAAAAACCGTGTCCAAACTTAGGAATCATATAATTTCAAACGTACTGTAAAGACGGCGTGGAAAGTCTCCTGACTAGCTTTGACTTTATCTTTGTAAGTTTTAAGACAAGCCATTGGGACAGAACGTCATCACATGTAACAAACTAAAGTGGAACCTTTTGTCTTATAAACCTGTGGCAGATCTCTAATTTCCTTAACTGTTGAAAGTTTTATTACACGAAATATTTATGCTTGGTAGAATAAATTCGTCTGAGTATACAGTGTTAAAAACTGATTTTAAGTAGCATAGTAGTTGAGTGAGTACAGTTATTATGAGTGGTGGACTGTTTGCTATCCGCTGATAACAAAGCTGGAGGACAAAACACTAGTCATCCACTTTACTAACAACACGTTAGTGACCTGATGTTTAATTTGCATGAATGCGTTGTTAAAGTTAGATGCAGGACCAAGCAAGTTTCGCGCAAAAAATAAATGAACTTGAAAGCCAAGAGCCACAATAAAGTCGTAAATATGGGATTATAAAATAACTAGAAGCCCACTGTACATACCCCGCATAGAATATTTTTTCAGCAAGAAAGAGTAAGGCTACAATAAGCACTCATAGAACCTTGAGAATGTGTAATGCAAGACAGTATGTTTAGCAAATCTAATTGTAGTTCCATAGTCGAAAGTACATATTAAAAATATTGTGAAATGACTAACAATTTTTAGGACAAACAAGTTTATTCTAGTGAATTAAAACAAACACGTCCACTATTCTGAATGAGCAGTATTACTTCTGCAAACAGATGACCTTAAGTGGAGGCGAGTCTTGAAAACAATGAAAAGCAGAATGCTTGATACCTCGAGAATCGATATACAAAGACAACTTTAGACCACTAAGAAAACAAAAAAGCGGAAGCTTACAAGGCTATGATTAGAATCGTTTTTACAGTTCCAAGTAAAGCTATCATGTGTTGATTTGACATCCAGAATCTTTGACGGCATCCAAAGTTCAGATTCAAATGATATTGTGTAGGGCACAGAATTTACAAGAACAAGATCCGTAAATGGCTCAAACTCGTCGGAATGTTTTTTTTCTGAAGTTAAATTAAACAAAACATAATAATTTACCTTTTGGGTAGTAACGCGGGTTGATAACGCTTGGCAAAGTTAGAATAATTTCTGAGTGGCTGAACTTAGATGTGTCTGTCTTCACGTTTTTTCCTTCTATCAGTCCAACATATCGCAGAACTATAGCAACCTTTCCATTTGGCGGTATGTTCCCAATGTTCATTTTAAATAAATCGGCACAATGTTCATCCTGTTCAGCCAAGATTGCTGTATGCCCTTCTTCAACAGCACTGTCATACGTTTCCTTAGCCTTTATCGAAGTAAAACAAAATAAATATCACCGTTAAGTTATTTGATGAAGTGGAGGTATGCAATACTTAAATCTGGATGACCTGAAACTGATGTGAAATGAGTAGTTATAAGGCTACTTATCAGAAAGTAAAAAGATCGCTTGTTTTTATATAATAAAAAGCTTTTCGCTGAATAAATATTGGAGGAACAAAAAGTTATAATCATAATTATAAGTGAAGGTTATAATTTGCAAGTTAGTAATTATTTGCTGGTTTTTAAAATCATGAATAAATCCAGTTCTCAATGTATTTTTAACTAATAAGCGCTAATATTCAGTAAGATATTTTTGCGATATAGGCTATGTAACAAAACCTAAATCTATAAAATCACGTTATCCCACAAAGTTTTCCGTACTGATTGGTCTCCCAGTCCCCCGACCTGCTATGCTTTATAGTGTAGGAGTAGTTTGGATGAAAGCTAGAGGCGGCCAGACAAAAACGTGCCATAAATCCATGAAGTCGTTGACAAGTGGACTGGGCCATGTTGGTAGGTGTAGACTACCTGGTTGGGATTCGCGAGATGATAGCAACCGATGGTTAGAGACCTTGAATGACATGGCTCAAAATCGTTTGCAATGGCGAAGGTGCATCCACTCTTTGTGTTCTACGAAATTCTAATCTTCTGAATTCCTCATGTCTTTATCTTTTTCTCTTTCCAAATTTATTTCACTGTACTATACTCCTTCAATAATTTCTTCAAATCCTAATCTTTTGGATTTCTGATTATACTCCTACTACTTCTACCACTACGGGATTTCAATCGACAACTTCATCTGTGCTAATGTGGTATGGCAACTCGAACTGATGTACGTACGTACGAAGTTCTACGTTGTAACTGACTGACTGACAGTCCAGAAGACTGAATCCAACTCTAGTCTGATAAGAAGAGCTGTTATTTTCTATTCAAACTACATGCTTAGATAATCATCTATACTCTTCAATGAGCTATTTTTGGTTCAGAACCATGATTCTCTCAAAATCCAATGGAACCAAAAGTATCTTGCCATGCTAATACATTCGATGACTCACATTATTTACCCTGAACTTCTCGAGTCATCATCTACATATATATTTGTTGCTATAAATTATGCGCCTGTAACTATAACCCTCTTTAAATGTGCGTATGTATGTGTATGTACTTACTCTATTGATCACCCGTTTGCCTTTAACTATCTTTACGGCTGCTAAATCACCTACTGAAATAGAGTAGATTAGATAGCCTTTCTCAACACTTCATTTCTTACGTCATATCTGCATAAACAATTGTATGAAACATATCCAATCAGAAACACTTATATTCTGATTTTAAATAAACCACCGTATTAAACGTATACAGTTTATGATATATATATATATATATATATATATATATATATATATACTAGTCACAAATGTTTTGTTTTGTTCTAAGCTATAACAGATCAATAGAATTTAGGACAGTGTTTCGTACTATATGCCTGAATTGCTGATTTTAACCACACAATGCTATCTAAGCTTTGACTATGGATATTAAAATAAAACTCTGTTACATACACTATAAAGTCCCTAAGCATATACTAAATACAATCTATTTCTAGCTTTAATATTTCAAGAAGTAAAACAATATAGAAAGTCTGCTGAGTTGCATTTTAACACACAAAATATCATATTTATATGTGCAATAATAACCGTTTGAACACATCTTCATTAACAATAATCACTACGAATAGTCCATGAAGCGTCATCATCCGAATATTGCAGCTGTATGGATAATGAAGATAATCTAAAAGATAAATTGCTGGAAAGTTCGAGTCACAATGAGTAATTATGCAACTTTGCTGATATAAAAAACGCAAGTAGTATAATTACAAACTTTCTCGACTATGCACAGCTAAAATGATAATTTAATCTACCTACCTCCGCACGTGGACGACACACGGATACAATTTTGTTGTCACCGATATGTGCCTCGAAATGGTAAACCGCCACACTATTCAATGGAAAAACAAACGACGCTTCCAGAGCTTCCTGTAATGTGTTCTCGTACAGGAACTCAACCATGACGTCTGAAACCATATTTACTATCCTACATTTTATTTGAACATTCTTTAACGGGATATTTGTGCATAACCTTTGGCATACAAGGCCAAGGTGTTTATAATCCGATATGTTCCAACCAAAATTCATTTATTAAATTTCGGTACGTCAAGCTTTGGTAGATTAGTTCCTAGCCTGAAAATACTTTGCGTATTTCAGGAGTGTATGTGATATTCTGAAAAAGAGTAACAGAGAAAGAGCGCCGATGACTTAGTTAGAATATTGAACGCACTGAGTGCGATTGACAGTAGTCCGCATCAAAAAAATAATAAGATTTGGACAAAATGGTTATTGAAACTAAAAGTGCATTACAAGGTCTTACACCGTTACAGTTTACGCAATCAAATAATCCCCAGCCAAATAACTTTCCATGTGATTGATTTAAACAAAAGCATATCTCAATTCAACTGAAGATATTTAAAGTTAAAGACAGAAATTAAAGATGTTTTGCACCGAATTTCTGTATATGGTAATTGATGTCTTTATGAAGTGGACAATGCACTTCGTTCAATATCTTTTCGATAACCAGGTCTAAGGTAGTTGATTTTCTTGTGCTCATATCTTAATGTAACATATGCTTCCAGGTCATTATCATTATCTGTTCTAGATGTTATAACACCTGCGTTCCACAATATTCAATGAATTTGACGTCCATCAAAGACTATTTTGTCACGTCTGTTAAAAAACATGTTCGCCTTCAAAAGTATGATTGCTGGTACCGGCAACAATCGCTTTGCAAGTCAGTCGGCTGGTTTGATTAGTATAAAGTGGATCTTGGAAACTAAAATGTAGAAAAGTAGGTGTAGCACAAGCTGTCTAATGAAAATTAGCTAATTAATCAACTCAACATGTAATCATATAAGTGGACGGGCATGTAAAAATAGGGTAAAAATGAAAAATATGAGATATCAAATAGGGTATTCAAGCTTTTTAGCCATTACAACAGTGGCCGAAATGACGGGTTATTCTCAAGCAATGGTCCAATAGGACTTGAATATGCCACAAGTATTTTTAGATTGACTACACCAATCAATAACTTTTTCTATAATTGAATCTTACACATCCAACGAAATCAAAGGTCAGAAGTGAAGAGGTCGGAAAATATATTTGAAAGATTATCAATATATCAAGAAGTGACTGATTCAAACTGGCTAGTGTTTGCAGTAAAGGTTGAGCACAACATTCCCACTCCTGATCTGGTAAGGACTGGTGATCAAGAGATTTCAGCTAGGTGGGTTCATTAAAATTGGTGTGGTTAGCATCATATGTTGGAGAATTACATAGCTATTGCTTTTGGGGATTTATTTACCGTTACAGATCGATCCTTCCTTAGTAAGGTAACAAGTGGTCAGTCAGAAGTTCAGGCCAGACAAGTTTGTGAACACTCTTCCAACAGCTTCCTATGTCCAGCACCGTCTGGTCGTCTTTCTATTACAAGGTGCCATGTAGTTCAATATAGTAGTGACAAACAAGTACAATGTAAATTTCGATTCATCGTTAACTTTCTCAGCCATCCTGGAAAAGAGAAAAAAGGATATTTAGGTGTATGTCGAATTACACTCGTACGTGCGTGAAGACACAAGACGGAGAATGAACTTGTAGTGGATGTCGAGTCGTGGGCGGACTATGATCACCACTACTATTCGATTACGCGTACAAATATGACTTGGTTCCCTTGATAGCCCGTAAATCAGAAGGCTTTACTAGTCCAGATCAAGTATAATTATTGGCGATCTCGTGGTATCGAAATAATACCGAGACGTGCCAAAGAGTACAAGCGAACAAGCAGTGCGTGAGCAAGCTCGAACCAAACCAGGCGGTATATGGAACAAGAAGTGAGTCTGATACAGTTAAACAAATACAGTAAAACAATCTCTGGTACAATTGGTTACAATAATAATAATTGTTTCTGTTATTCCAATCGTGTTCTTATCGAGACTGGCCGGTCACTACAGGAGCCCCCCGCTAGAAAGGATTTACACTTTCGATACGTAGCAGTTTCATTCGTGGGACTGATCGCGAAACGTGCAATTGTAGGACGAAGACGTTGGCAGAACAGGGAGTGATCGTTGATCCTCGAGTTGCCACCAAAAGTCTTTGACGTAGAACGGTACCAGAAGGAACGTGCTGTATTGATTGCTTGGATTAGCATGCTACACCAGAGTGGTTTGTATCCAGAATCTGAAGGTTGCGTTCGTAGAGGTCCGGACCAGAAACGCTGCAGACGTAGGACGAAACCAGATTGAGCCAAGGAACCAGATGCGACCAGAATAACCATGTTCGTGACCAAATGTATACCATACGTATTTGGAGCCAGAGAGGTCGACTGAGTGCGTTGACTAGAGCGTGGGTGATCAGGCCAGCTTTCGCCAAAGTTTACTGAAGTCGACGATACCGGAACAGCGATGGTCGAAGGCGTAGGCTCGGAGTAAACACAAAAAAAATGATAGAAAAAGAGAAAAGTGTAGCTTTCTTGTAGTATAGGGGTAGATTCCTATACTGTATCCGTAGTTGGTTATGAGGTTAGTCGAGAAAGCGTACGGGTAAGCGTACTCGGCGACCAGAACGTGAGACGGTAGTCTCGTTCGAACCTCGTGAGCCTGCAATCTCATATGCAGTCAAGGGCGGTGTGGTCTGTAGGTCTGGACGTGAGACGGAAGTCTCGTCCGTAGACGGGGCAGATGACACGTGCTGTTGACTGGGACGTGAGAATGAGGTCTCAGGTGCATCTAGCGTGGGATCCGAAGTAGATGTAGAAATCCCGCTAGAAGCTCTGATGGGTCTAACATTGGTTCTCGGCTTATCAGGTATAGCACTGTCATCGACGTGTGCTGGCTTGAGACGATCAATGCTGACTGTTTCGATGCGGCCACGTCGATCAACCTTGAAGGTCTTTTCGTGACGGGAAATCACGTGAAAAGGGCCCTCGTAAGGCTGTTGTAGAGGTTTGCGTACCGAATCCACTCGTATGAAAACATGTGAACAGGCAGATAACTCTCGAGGGAGAGCGACCTGTCGATGTTGTATACGAGTCGACACCGGAGTCAGTGTTCGCATGAATGCAGACAGTCGTTGGACGTAGTCTGATTCGCCGAACTTAGTGCTGCTCCGTGGTGTGAAAAATTCCCCAGGCAGACGCAATGTCGTGCCGTAAACAAGTTCAGCGGCGGAGCATTGAATATCTGCCTTTAGACTCGTTCTGATTCCCAGGAGGACGAGCGGTAGGGTTTTGTACCAATTGTTGTTTTCGTGTGCTCGAAGAGCACTTTTAAGTTGGCGATGAAACCGTTCAACTAAACCGTTTGATGCTGGATGGTAGGCGGTAGTGCGTATGCGTTCCGTACCAAGCAGCCGTGTTAGTGAGGAGAATAATGCGGACTCAAATTGTTGTCCTCGGTCAGTCGTGACAGTCGAGGGACAACCATACATAGCTATCCATCGTTCTACGAAGCGGTGAGCGACTGTCTCCGCCGTAATAGACGTGATGGGAATAGCTTCGGGCCATCTTGTGAAACGATCAATGCATGTGAGTATGTGATCATACCCGTGCGATGGTGGTAATGGTCCTACAATGTCTATGTGAACGTGATCGAAGCGAGCATCAGGCGTAGCGAAAGTGCCAATAGGGGCAGCTACGTGCCTGTGCACTTTTGATCGTTGACATTGTAAGCATTGCTTTACCCACATACGGACATCTTTATTCATGGACGGCCAGACGTATCGTGCAGCGATGAGGCGTAAAGTGGCTGCGATACCAGGATGAGATAAACCATGAAGGGCATCAAAGACGAGACGGCGATAAGCGGAGGGTACGATGGGTCGAGGGAGGCCCGTAGAAGTATCACATAGGATAGTACCTGAGCTAGTAGCTAGGGGTACTTCCCGACACTGAAGGGACGTAGACTGTTGTGCTTCCGTGCATGAAGTATCGTTTGCTTGGGCGGCGGCCATAGCAGGTAGATCGAGCACTGGCAAAGTAACTGCATTAAGTTGGATACGTGATAAAGCATCAGCAACACAGTTCGACTCGCCTTTGACGTGACGAAGGTCTGTCGTGAACTGGGAGATATAGTCTAAATGTCTGCACTCTCGTGATGAGTAGCGGTCAGACTTGGTATGCAGAGCATACGTTAAGGGCTTATGGTCGGTGAATAAGATGAAATTACGACCTTCTACAGCGTGCCGGAAATGTTTGATGGCGCAGTAGGCTGCTAGCAGTTCGCGACCAAAAGCGCTATATCTCGTCTCCGTGGGAGTGAGGCGTCGTGAGAAAAATTCGAGGGGCTGCCAACTACCGGAGATATTCTGTTGCATAACGGCTTCTATGGCGAAATCCGATGCATCAACCGCTATACTAAGCGTGGCTGATGGGTCAGGGTGCACGAGAAGTGTGGCTTGAGCTAGGGCCGTTTTGATATCTGAAAATGCAGTACGTGCGGCGTCGTTCCATTCCAGTTTGCGTGGATTACCGCGAAGTAAATCAGTTAACGGTCGTAACTGTTCTGCCGCGTGCGAAATGAAGCGTCGGTAGAAGTTGACCAAACCGAGAAATGCCTTCAGTTCCTTGAGTGTGGACAGTACAGTGTACTCCATTATAGTACGTACTTTATCCTCACAAGGTAGAATACCCTCATGCTTAATAACATGACCTAAGAATTTTATTTCCTTCTTCCCGAGTTCACACTTGTCGGGGTTGACTATTATTCCATTATCCGAAAGGCGCTGGAATAGTAGCGTCAGGTGTTGATAATGTTCATCTACGTTTGATGATGCGATTAGCAGGTCATCAATATAGGCGTGAACAAAATCTAGGTCTCGTACAATGCTATCGATAAACCTTTGGAAAGTCTGAGCAGCATTCCGTAATCCAAATGGCATTCGTAGGAACTCAAATAAACCGAAAGGAGTCGTGATGGCAGTTTTCTCTATATCTTCAAGAGCGACTGGGATCTGATGATATGCTCGTATCAGATCGATCTTGGAAAAAATTGTCGTGCCCTTGAGTGATGCCGTGATGTCATGTATGTGGGGGATGGGATAGCTATCGAAACGTGTAGCTGTGTTTAACGCTCGGTAGTCTCCGCATGGTCTCCAACTAACCCCATCCTTTTTTCGAACCATGTGGAGAGGTGAGGCCCAAGGACTGTGAGAAGGACGAATAATACCAGTAGCTAGTAAATTGTCGAACTCACGTTTAGCGAAAGCTAATTTGTCCGGTGCCAGTCGGCGAGGTCTTGCCGTGACTGGTGGTCCGCGGGTGACTATGTGGTGTACCACACGATTGGTCACCAATGGAGTCTCCTCGAAAGGTTTAGTTAATTTGGGGAATTTCTGAAATAAAACGTGGAATAAATCGTCACGCGAATGAAATACA